TCATCATATTCACATTTCTGCTTGAAAAGTTCAATACTTTCTTGTTTCCATAAAGCTCTACCATCACGTTGGATCGTAGCGAACTCAAGACCAGAAGGCACATTATAATTTCTTGAAACTACCATCCTCTTCTCATCTTTCTTCTGCATGTCATAAATTACTCGCAAAGGGATTTTCCCCCAAAACCTAACAAATAAAAAGAACAGAAATTTTATTCTATACATGAAAGCATCAAACACCAAAATCCCATTAGTAAAAAAGGGGGTTCATCTCGCCAATCAACTTGATCGGTCTGTTCTACATAAACCAAGCCTATCTAACATTTTTTTTAGTTTTTTTTTTTAAAAAAAAATAATAATAATAACTAATGGTATACTTGCAAACACATTTAACCATGCTTCAGTATGTTAGCGAAAACCCACTAAACCACCACAAATAAGTAGTAAAGAGAAACCAATTAGCATGTTCCAAAAACCAGATTGTCAGAACTTCCAGATAGCAAAAACTGTAAAGTCCAAACAACCTCTTATAAACATAGTACAAAATGAAGCTTTCTATAGTCATAATCAACCAAGTCATAAATGTAACAACATGAACCAATACAAATGTGAGTATCGACTAAACTGAAAAACCTACAAAAATCACATTTTTCGGTACAAAACAGCGAATTCCATCAAAATAACCCTTCGCTACACTGCACTCAAAACCTAAACAAAAGCAAATGATAAATAAAAAAAACAAAAAAAGGTATTAAATAATTTCCAAACCCAGGTAGAAAAAAATCAAAAGAAACAAATTAAGGACTTAACAGTAGTAAGTAAAAGGGAGGAAACCTGTGAAGGGCAACCGAGAAAGGCCTAGAAGAACCTTCCCTGGAGGCAAAGCAAGGACAAGAACGAGATAACTTGAAATAAGAAGGGCATATTGGTCCAAAGGGACTAATTTGAGTGGTGGTGGAGGTGAACCCCATAGCTAAAACCTCAGCAAACCTCCCCAGCTTAGTAGCTCTACTTCTACTATATAAAAGAGCCGTTTTGTATGGGTTTTAGTGACAAAGATGTAAATAAAAGGAAGTTTGAGGGTAGGATTTCTGTTATCTGAGGTGGGTTGCAAGTGGGACTGTGAAAGAAACAGAACCAGAAGGAGAGGCCATAAGCAGAGAGAGAAGACAAAGAAGAAGGGGAACTTCAAGAGGCCTAAAACCCTCGTTGTTTTTTAACTTCTTCAGCTGGCAAATATTTGTCTTTGTGTATAATTTTCCCTCTTTTTTTTTTTTTTTTTTTTTTTTGGGCATTAAGGCTTGAGAGGTTTGTTAATTACGGATATGCCTTTTTCTTTTTGGGGTGTATGGAGAATATGGTGGTCTAGCACAGCAGCAGATTCTTATCTCATTTGTTTTCTTTTTCAGAAAACTCATAATTTGTTCATTGCTTGAATTTTTTTATTTTTTCTATTTTTTATTTTTGGTCTTTGAATGATCATTGCTTGATTATGAAAATTTTCCAATGTGGCCAACGAGACATTTGTTTAATACTATTGCTTAAAGAGAGAATTAAAATCATTGAAGATTGATTATTTTTTACATGAAAGAATTTTGAAATTTGACCTAATTATAAGTGGATTTTATCTTGGATATCATTTAATTTCACTAAGATTGTGTTATGAGGATGTATTTATTTTTTTTTCTTTGATTGATATAGAAGAGATAAATTTAGAATCCATTTGACATAATTTATGTGTAATTATATTTAATTTTGAGTCATAATTTATAAATTACTCTTTTATAAATAATTTATGAGAACAATTAATTAAGCTAAAAATATGTCTGGTGAAAAATAATTCAAAAATATATTTCTAAAAGAAATATGAATTCAATGTTCTATATAACATTCGGTGTTCTTCGCATTAGCAATGTAATAACCCAAAATTTATCTCCTTTTGTTTTTATTTTATTTTATTTTATTATTTTTATTTATTTCTATTTCTTATTTCATGTATGTTTTGTTTTATTTTAATTTGAAGTTTATTGGAAAAAAAATGGTGAAAAACAAAAAAAAAATTCATTTAGGGATACAATTGAAGTAATTAGCGGTATAATCGAGTCAATTAAAAATGTAGGCCCTAAATTGTACCTCATAGGGACCCAATTGATAAGATTGTGTTGAAATTATACCATAAAAGGGTGTGATCGTAAAAAATTGAAATGCATGGGGACCAAGTTGAATTTTGGAGCGGACGACGGGATCGAAGAGGAGATGGCGACACGTCGTCCACTCCAATTCTAATTTCCCTTCGAGAATCTTTGGGAGAAATCGTCAAATCCTCCCTCAAAATTCCTGTTTTGATTTTGCATTTATCATGATTATTGGACGGAATTAATATCAACAAAAAATCAAGTAATTTCTGTTTTGATTTTGCATTAATCATGAATTAAAGAGGAAAAATTTTGATAAAAAAAATTCGGGATTTGAGATTCGATTCTAGGAGAAATTCTAGAAAATTTTAGGCTATAAAACGTTTTGAATTTCACAGAACGGGAGGGAGAAGAAATTGGAGAGGAATTCGGGTTCGGAGAGAGTGAAAATTAAAAGAAAAGGTCTTGATTTTTTTAGCATTTGTGTTTTTCCGGGTTTTGGTTTCAAGGTGTTCTTGGTGTTCATGCATTCTAGGTTTGGAGTTTTAAAACCGTCATTCCCTTTTGTTCTTTGTTTGGCTTTTTGGGGTTAAAATTCCGGATCCACGGGTTTCTCAACTTCGTTTATTGGATTTTTGGGGTTCGGTTTGTCCATACATGGGTTTTCTCTTTGAAGATTCGGGCATTTGTTCTTCATTTTCACGGCGAGTTGAACCCGTTCTTCCCATTTCTAGGTTTTGTTTTTTGAGTTCTTCACATTGTCGAACTTCGATCCCCAGTTTTGAACTTATTTGAGTATCCAAGATCCATTAACGGTTCCATAACTTCTCCAAAAACGTCTCGAGGGTCGATTTCGATCCAAGTTTTTTCGTTTTCTCTTTAATTATCGACATCAAGCATACCGGTATGTGTTCATCATTTTTTTTCCTTCATTATTTTTTCATTTTTTTGCTTTGACATTTTAAATGTTGGTTTCGTAATTCTTTTAAGTTTTAGGTTTTTTTTTGTTGTGATCGAAATAGGAGTACAAAGGTTGCATGTTAATTGGCTCATTTTGTTTGAAATCGAGTTCTTACTTATGGGAAACTAGAAAATAGAAAGAGAAAGTGAAGAACACGAAGAACATGAGAGATAAAGGGTTAAAAGCTTGAAAATTTCGGTTTTGATCTGAAAAATAAACAAAAACAAGTAGAACTTATTTTTGGGCTTGATGTCCGACTCGATCCGTAAAAAAAAAAAAAAGAAATAGAAGGGGCTGGACTTTTTTTTTCAGTCCAGCCCATGGCCCTTCTCCAAAAAATACGTGTGGGCTGGACTAATTTCAGTCCAGCCCATCCCCTTTACCCCAAATAAAACAATGGGGGATGGATCGGAATTCGACTCGACCCGTAGCCACCTTCCGAGCCTTCTCCAAAAAAAAAAAAAAAGGAAAAAAAGAAAAGAAAAGGGGTAATAAAGAAAATAAAAAATAGAATTAGGGAAGAAAAAATAAAAAGAAAAAGGAAGTGTAGAAAAAAATAAGTTGTGGGTTTATGGATTGGTCCAGGATGAATTCTTTTTGCGATATTATTTATCTGTCTATTTTTATTTTTATTTATTTATTTTTTAGCTTGTTTATTTGTATCCCTTATCGTTTTTTTATATTAATTTAGAATTGTTATTTCAATTTTTTTTTACTTTCTTTTCTTTAAAATGTATTGTAAGAAAAAATTATAAAATTTTTTGACGAAGTCTTCTATCTTGTAGGGATCGATGTCACAAAAAAAATGCCTAAAATTTTGGCGAAGCCTCCTACATGGTAGGGACTCACGTCATAAAAATAAATAAATAAATAAATTCGACGAAGTCTCCTATCTAATAGGGATTAACGTCACCAAATTCAAAATTTTCAACGAAGTCTCCTATTTGATAGGGGTCGATGTCACCAAAATTACCTTTTAATTAAAAAGTCATCCGACATGCCGATCGTGTCAAGACTTTTAGTGGATTCGATATTTGAATCGACGTGTCACCCAACGAAGAGGATTGACGATCGTTTCAATATGATGTTACGTCCAAAACTAAAAAATTCACTTAGTCTAAAAAAATAGGAGTTTAAAAATTAGAAAATAGTTTGATATGGATTTTTAGTAGATGAATTTAGAACTAAACTATACATAGTAACTTTTTCTAAAAAGGCACTTATAGGTGATTATCTTCCTAAAAGCGTAACCAACTCCTTACCTTACGAATCCCCGAACCAAGTGCTACTTTTAGATTACTAGTTCCTTAAATATTAGGTGGCGACTCCAAAACTCGTAAATAATTTTATAAATATTCAACGCTCAGATTTTAATTTCTTTGGAGAGTCTCGTCCGACGTCGCGTAGCGACAAGCAAATGCAACAATTTGACATCATCGGAGCTTCTTGAAGAAAAGATTCCTGCATCAAAACCTCTCAAGAATGGGATCACAGGAGTGCTAGAAGGAAACTTCATTCTCAAGATACGACAAAGCTCATGGCGAGAGTTCTTGCCACCAAAACTTCTGTACATTGACAGTGCATTTGAATAGCATGCAGGGACTTTTTCCATCAGAACACGCCCACATAATTTCCTAATTTTGGAAGTCCAAGGTACAAATGTTGTGCAAATTGAAAGGAAAAGTTTAACTTTCAGACAAAACAAGTTCCCTTTCCTGAAATACCTTAATTTTTATGCATGCATTGTACAGTCTGCAAAATATTTGTGACTTATAAAACAACAATGTCCGGATTGTCTACAAAAAGATGAACTATTAAACAAGTGTACCTTCCGAAGAGTATAATTTTACCATTTTGAAACACCATCAAAATGTAATGGCCGTAGTTGTGCATCACTTCCCGCATTCATATACTTGCATCAGGGCAGTACTTGGATGCCCAATTACGAAATCTACTAGCAGCAACCTCTTTTTCTGCTTTGGCCACCTTCTCCATCTCAGCAAGATATGCTCGATCAACCAGAATCCCCTCAGCTTCCATTCTAACCAAAAGCTCACCAAATGGCTGCCAGTATTCCTGGTAGAAATCAAACGTGGATTTTGAGGAACTAGTTTTCCATCAATTTTCCATGGCATTTCAGATAGTTGGGTTCGCAAACTCTCATACAGCTGCAAAGCGCTTATTACGTCTAAAGCAGAATAACAAATCCATGGTTCTCGTTCAATTCTTTGTAGCTCTTCAGCAGGAGCAACAGAGAACATTTTGCCTTCAGATCCATCTTTTTTCACCTTTTCTTGCTAAAGAGGGTTTCCATTGATGCTTTACTAATCAACTCTTCATAGCATGATTGAGGCCCACACATGACCCTTTGGTCATCAGTAAGAGCTTCCAATGAAAAAGAAAATTTTTAGCTTCACAGTTCAGTGCACATACTAAAGCATTTACGACCTGATCTTAAGCTTGGTTAACACCACAAAGATCTTCCAATGAAAAAGAAAACTGTCAGTGTCCAAATCTTTGCCCTAACCAATTATATGTGAAGGTGTAAGATAATTGCAGCGACAAATTTATTCACACAAGGCAGTTATGTTCAGAGATGCCCACCCAGAAAAAGAGAGTTTAACACCCTTCATGCCCACACTACATTGAATGTTATCATAGTATTCTACACGAGCTGTGCACAGAGAGAGCAATGACAGAAAAGAAAACAAAAGAAATCAATAGAAAGAAATGAGACTAGTAAAGATCACCTTTTTTATGCCTGGATCTTCAAAGAATGGAGAAAATTCAATCAAAAGATCCTCACCACCAGCATCAAGAACATCCACCCAGATGCGAGGTTTCTTACTTCCAAAATCTGCATCTGTTCCAGAATAAATGCTGAAGCATGTTATTTTTCCATGGTCAATAGGCGTTTCCTCCTTAACATCAATCTTGGCAACCTATAGATGCATTACCTTCTTATGTAAGAATTCCAAGTAATTTGGAGATGTGCATACCTTTAGTATCATGCACTTAGAAAATGATACTATAGCATGAATGTATGTGATTTATATACATGTGAATCACATATATGATCTCTAGACCTTCAACCCTAGCAATGCTCCTTTTTAAACATAAATCCACTGCACAGTCAACAACAAAAAAGACTAACTTCAAGCTAAAGTTACTGCTTACGGAGCCAGTATTCAATAACTCTCACCCTTAAATTTATTCTCCTCATGCAATTTTGGACTTAATTTGCTGCCATTGAATTTTTGAAGATCTACTGTATTGTAGCATCAGTTTAGGACATCCCCAGAGTCCTAAGAAGCAAGCATAGCTTTCTACTAAACGAGCATTTGCATTTAAGGGAGATGGTAATAAAATCTTATTTGATTAACTATGTACCTTAGTATCGATTGCATGGATAAGATGTCAATACTGATTAGTGAGCTTCATTACAACCTCCTTCACTGTAGAGAGATTATCAACAACCAGAACACTTCCGTAAACACTAGTGCACTTTGACGAACAGCAGCAAATTTTCATTATTGAGGTGCCTCATCAGCATCATTGAGATCTTCATTATCTATAACAGCAGCAAATTTTCCTTTGAGTTGGTCAATTTTATTTTATTATTATATAATATATATATATATATATATTTTTTAACCAGTACGATTTGCTTCCAAAATTGTGTACTGAGAACCTTTCTTATGCCTTGATCTCAGAACCAATGATCAATTATTCCATGCATCCTCTTTTCATTCGCTCAAAGACAAACCATTTGGCTTTTTATCTTTTTTATTATCAACTGCCTGATCAAAATATTGGGCTTCTACTGAGTCAGCATGCATCTTGAATTCACATCCACCATTCCATAGCTAACTGAATTAAAAGCACAATCTGGCTTGTCTGATTCACATCTCTGTTTAAAGAGTTCTTTATTCTCTTGTTTCCACAAGGATCCAGTGGCATCGGAAACAAAAAGTACATTATAATTTCTGGAAACTAATATCCTCTTCCCATCTCTCTTTTGCAGGTTAACAGTTACTCGCAGATGAAGTTTTCGCCCAAAACCCAAAAAAGCACAGAGAAAAAAAAAAAGAAAATTAATTCGGTACGGTTAATATAAGGCAATCAATGTCAAAACCCCAGGACACAAACAAACGTCAAATGATGTAAAATATCATAAGAGTGGCAATTCAAGTCTGACATGACGAATCCATGCTTTCAGACATGCTGTACTGTGTCACTGTCTAAAATTTTAATTTGCTTCATCTGTCAAATAATTAATTTACTAAGAAAAAACAAATGGGTTAAATCATGTCATTTTCCAGTTAATCCGGTTGATCATTCACATCATGTAAACTTCAGGTTCCTCTCTGTAATTTCTGGTCATGTTTGGGTCGTGTCATCTTGCCATGTCCAATATAATTGTCAACCTCATTTAACCAATCTCTTCTGTATAATAACAAAAACCCAGTAACTCAACTAGAAACTATCAGTAAAACAACCATTTTTAACATGTAGACACCATTTCCCCCGAATCAAGCAACCTATCAATGAAACTATTACCCCAAAAATAGCGACAAAGGTCCCAAAAATCAGTAAAAAAAAAAAAAAAAATTGCATATTCAATTAACATGATCCAGTGCTAGACTACACTCACAATCCAACAAAGAAACCATTAGCAAAACAACACACAAGACACAAAAAAACATGGGTATCAAACAACAATCAAAACTCAGATAGAAAAACTTAGAAAACCAATAAATTAAGGCCTTAACATTAAGAGTGAGAGAGAGAGCAAAACCTGTAAAGTGCAATATAGAAACGCCCACAAGAACCACCCATGGAGACAAAACAAGGCTAAATACATGCAAGTAAAGGGTTCATCAAGCTTTTCTCGCCACTTGATTCAGTGATCATCCGTTCGCTACGAATTCCGGAATCCAAAAAACAGAGACTGAGTAGCGAGTAGAGAGTGGAATTATTATTGCTACTTCTGCAGGTTTATTATTGTCATCAATTCATTACCCGTGAAATTTAGAAAGCGGGAATTTCATCAATCAAAACCAACCCATTAAAAAGATATGCATCAAGCCCAGTTTAGAAGGAATAGAAATCCAGCTCAATAAAACAATAAGGCCTGGCCCATAATTTTAAATAGTGGTTCTGGTTGCGATAATCGCTAACGTTAAATAACAATTGTAGCTATTGTTGTAAAATTATAATATTTTTGGATCGACTTGCATATTAATCGAAACTAGATTTTTGGTGCATCCCTAAAATTTAAACCCGAGAAGATAAAAAAAAAGAAAAAAGAAAAGCAAGCCTTTTTATTCATCAGACTAGTAGTGAGCATTTAGTTTTTTAATTTTAATTTTTAATATTTTAATTCGGTTTTGGATTAAGTGAACTCACCAAAAGAAAAAACTAAAATCGAATTTCTATTTGGTTTTTCGAATTTTTTTTAGTTCGGTAAAAACTAATTTTTTTTTAATAATGTAAATAAGCTTAAAAAATTATGTCATGGACTAGGAAGTTTTTACTATCCAAATAGTCTAGATTAACCTATATAAAATATAATAAATACTATTTATTTAAATAAAACTAAATCACTCAACCATATCACAAAGTAAGGCATTAAAATTTGAATATAAATCTACTAATTTATATTTAAAATATATAATGATAAAAAATTATTGATTATTTAAATATATTGTAAACCAAACTATCAAAGTTACAATTTATAAGAGTAGAAAACCATTCTAATTCTTACAACTGCTTTTTTAGAGGTGATATAATGATGTTTGTGTATTTTTTTTCCTCTCTCTTTGTTCTGTTCATATCATTAGTCACTCTTTCATTGACGGTGTTATTTTGCCATTTACGTTGGAATGTGCTCTTTTATATTTGAAACAAGTCATTAAAAAAAAAAAAATAGGAAAAGGCCTAAGAAGATTAGAGAAAAAAATAAATAAATTAAGTCCTAGAAATGATTCTTTCCCCTCACATAATAATATATTTTAGGAAATTAAAACTAATAAAGAGATAAGTTTAAACTAATAGAAACACAAAATTAATAATATAATAAATTCACATAAAAAACAAAACAAAAACAAAAAACACATATCCAGATTTCCTCACACATTAATTTTTTCATGAAACCCAAACAATCACAAACGACAAACTCAAGTTCTTATGTATTTGGATAAAAAAAAAAATTCATTTTCCTTATGTGCTTTTCAAACTTTTTTTTAGTGTTTGAGTTTCTTTTAAAGATGATGGTTTGATAATGGAGGAATTTGCTATGCTGTCTAAAAGATTTGTTTGAGATTTAATTCAATTTCTTATAATTTTTTTTCAAACAAATTTTTTGGATTTTGTTGTGGAGATGGATGTGTCATAATTAGAGTTGCGGATAGGGGTGAGCATAATTCCGTTTAATCAAAAAAATTAAACCGAATCGAACCGAATTATGTATTTTGATTTGTTGTTTAATTTAAATTTGTAAAATTAAAAACCGAATTGAAATTATTTCGGTTCCGTTCGTTTTTTTATTTAAAAAAATTGATTTTTCACAAAAAACCGAATATATTATGATAAGATTAGAGATTTATAAAAAATTCATTTTCTACACCTAATTTGAGATTTAAATTATGATATTCAAGGAGGAAGCATACTTTTTATTATCTTAGTCCGGATACTAAAAAATAAAAAGTCTCTAAATATTAACTCGACCCATATTTAGAATTTACCAATTAAAAAAAAATTATTTCAGTTAAAAGCGAATTTTTAGGAAAGTGAACCAAAATAATTCGGTTTCAAACCGAACTCATCGAACTTATTTCGATTCGGTTTCGGTTTTAGTTTTTCTTAATTCTAATAACTTAAAACCAAATCGAATTTGTATGAAATCGAACTCGTTTAACCGTTTGCTCAACCTTAATTGGACTTTTTTTTTTAATTTCATTTTATGATTATTTAATAAAAAAATGTAATTATATATCAAGGAAACACAATGGAAGCGACTTGCTTTTTTTTTTTTTTTTTTTTTGCTTTCTTTATTTTTATATTTGCTGTTTAAAGCTTCTTTTTTTTTTTTTGTAATTTTTTTTTCAATTTCTTATCTTTTTATGTATTTTTTTTCATATATACAAAAATATATTTTGAAGAAAATTCCTTCCAATCAAATAACACCATTAGGGAAGGACTAAATGACCAATGGTGTGGACGGACAAATAGCACAAAGTGGTGGAAAAACTAAATGAAAATAGAAAATGATATTTGAGTGATGGTTGACAGCCAAAATTCAGAAATCCTCAAACATTAATAAAAAAAGTTGATCAAAATTATTTTACAAGATGCATTAGCATATTTTCAAATTTTGCATCCCTCTGCACCAAGTACCTGAACAATGAAGCACAACTTGATCTTAATCACTATCACTATCAGGAGAAGGTGCCTTGATATGGTCATCATCTACTGCCCGCTCTTCAGCACCATCATTTTTCACTGCTAAAAATTCTAGAGCTGTTACAACATCACTCATTAATGGCCTAGTAGAAGCTTCCTCTTGGAGACACATGGCTGCAACTGCAAGTGCTTGATACAGACCTTTCAAAGGGTAGTTGCCTTGTAGCAAAGGGTCTGCCATCAGAGTAAACTTTCTTCTATCTTTGAATAGTGGCGTTGCCTGCATAGAGAAATGTAAATATGTAGTCAAGATAAGGGCTTGCATCTTTGGTTCTAGCTCTCAAATGTTTTAGTAGATGTTTGAGACTATTATAAATTATATTCTGGAGCCTTATCTATTAACTTAAGCTTTTAGGTTAGATGATTCTTTAATATGATATCTAAGCACAAGACAATATAGATCCGTGCAAGTTTCAAACTCAAATGTTGAGATTTTCACTTGAGAGGGTATGTTAAAGATTATTATAAATTATATTCTGGAGCTTCACTTATTAGCTTAAGTTTTTTATATAAATTATATTCCGAGGCTTCACCTATCAGTTTAGTTTTTTAGATGAGATGATCTTTTAATAGTAGATCAGAAAAAACTATGATCTGAAGTTGTCGTCATGAAGTGTCATCAGAGGATGTGTTTGTGCAATATAGAGAGAAATTTAGTGGAGAATTACGAATTCTACACATACCCAAGAAACTAGATTCTGCTCTTCTGTTGGTCTTGAGTTGTCGATGACTCTTCTTCCCGTAATTAGCTCCAAAAACACAACTCCAAAGCTGTAAACATCGGATTTCGCTGTCAGTTGTCCTGTCAATGCATATTCAGGTGCACAATAGCCGTAAGTCCCCATCACCCTGGTGGATACATGAGTCTTATCTCCGGTCGGTCCAAGCTTTGCCAGCCCGAAATCTGAGAGCTTTGGGTTGAAATTCTCATCTAATAATACGTTTGATGCTTTAAAGTCACGGTATATTACTGGAGGATTTGCTGATTCATGCAAGTATTCAAGCCCTTTTGCAGCCCCTTCAGCTATTTTCATCCTAGTATTCCAATCCAATGGCTTTCTATCTGGTGTTAAATCTGAAAGAAAAAATCCAGCTGATTAGAGTATAGAACTAGCAAGAAACAGGAACCCAATCTCTAACAACGATAGAAATGCTAAACCACAGAATCTAATAATCATTTAAGCAAAGAAATCTATCCTGTATGCAAAAGAGCAGCATATCCAAATGAAGTTACTTCATACATACCAAGAAGATGATCCTCAAGGGAGCCATTAACCATATACTCGTACACTAAAATCCTCTGGTCACCATCAGCACAATATCCAACTAAGTTGACAAGGTTAGGGTGGTGAAGAAGACTCAAAATTAGAACTTCTACGAGAAATTCTCTGTTTCCTTGAAATCCATTTCTGTCTAGTTGCTTAACAGCAACAACCTAGTTGGAAAAAAAAAAAACATGAGATTTTTTTCTTCTTGTGAAGTAAAAACAATGAATGCAACTTCAAATTATAATGGAAGAGCAGTACTTGGTTTGTTTTCTGAATCAGCCCTTTGTACACCCTGCCGAAACCACCTTCGCCTATCAGATTTTCATGGTTGAAGTTCTTAGTTGCCGCAGTTAGATCTCGGAATGTGAAAATTTCAGCAGATATATTGCCCTTTCCAATTTGCTTGATTTCTTCAGCTATGTACCTTTTTCTGCTGCTATCTGTGGACAATTTATGTTAAATTTAAATGAGACTCCATCAAGTTGTATGCAAAAATATAAATATTCTTGCAACAAACTTTCTCCAGATGAGCCTCAGAATTATAATTACTTGGAGAGTTAAGCAACATTTCCTGATATGCTAATGCCAAAATATGAGATCTTTTCTAATGTCTTCAAGAAACGAACAATTACATTCCAATGAAATCAAGAAGACTATTTTCAACAACATAGAAACATTGTTGATGAATTAACAATACGACAACACAACAAGTTGGCAAAGAAAAACACATTATGGATGCAGTACGAGACATACAGATTGACAGCAACCAGATCTAGGCTGGGAGACAGACAGACTACCACCTTTCCAAATTATGATCAAAGAATTCATGGTTTCGTGAAATTTAAGAATTGATCATCGAAGAAAGACCGTTTACCTGTTTTAAACGAGAGATTAGCAAATGAGGCTAAAGTTTTGGCATCATGGTATTCCTTAATGCTTTTTTTCAGTGACTTTCTGCGTAATCCTTCCTCTGACATGCAACATTTAAAGCAGCCCATCTCGCTTTCCTTGTAATTCAGCCAGGATAAAAATATGAATGGAGTTCTTAGAAAGATAATTAGCACAAAGAGTTGTTGATATCAATCTCAAAACCTTAGCCTAAGGGCATAATAAAATAACACTTCTGGTTTTGTCGGGAGACAAGAAAATTTTGCCATCATGTTTGTTTTTAGTCCACAATCTATCTCAGTCCATGGAGCCAGGAAAAGGAAAAGACTAGGTCAAAATTTGGCTAATTATAGCAACAGATGCCATATCTAAACTATTTCATTTGCAAATTGGGCCTTTTTGGTATGCTTTTCTTTGCCATGTGCCTCTATTTGCTTGACAAATTTCCTCCAAGGTTAGTAGCGCTAGAAGGAAATCAAGAGCCATTTTTTTCTCCAGATTTTACTAAGTATGGCCAACCATCTTGATTTTATTACTTCTTCACTAAAATTCTCTAGAGTTTCCAATTTTTTAAGCCATTGGTAGCTAAATATATGGAGTGCTACTATAGATGGATGGAGGTTTGGCATGTTGTTGGATATCAAATTTGACAAGGGATTATTGATTCTATACATGATTTTTTTTTTCATTTTTTGTCTTTTCTATATTAACAAGAAATGGATAGAGCATTTGGAGTAGTATTCTCAAATTTAATTCCCTTACTTGTGAGATATTCTAAAACTATTCCATACAACTTTTTTTTCTTTTTTTTTTATTCAATAACAAGGGATATTCTTAAATTAATTCATGTACTAATCTTGATTAATTTTTTTTGAATGATCTTAAAGACACAATACTTATATCGATATAATACATTTAAAGAAATACATATACTATTCAAGAAGATTGAATAGAGCAAAAAAAGCTCTAATCGTTTAAATAAATAATTTCGATTTAAAAAAAGAAAAAAGAAAGATAAATAATTATACTACAAGAATGAATCAATAAGTTAGCATTCTTCTTATCACCAAAATAATACTCAATATGATATCAACACGTAATTAAAATATAAAATAAATATTTATTTTTTTCATTTTCAAGGCATAGTCACTTCTAATTACTTGGCAACTATCACCAAAACTAATTGGAAAGAAGTGCAAAAAACAATGCGTTTGTAACCACTTCTTTCACACTTTCAGTTCAACCAAGGAGTCGTCGTCTACAATGCCGAGAGCATGCCAACTTGAAACAGAACGACACATACGTATTATGAGGACGACAATTCGTTTACTTGACTTCATCCATATCATATACTTGTCAGAATTATTTTTGGAGAAGGGTCTTGCAAAGGACATTAAACCCGTAAACTGAAATTGGAAATCTTGTGGTGGGTTTTTCCCCTACGTTATCTTTGCTTTGGATTAGGATTTTAAAAAATAAAAAAGTACAAATAGATAAGGTGGATAGTAATTTTAGGTTGACTGGGCAAAGATTATCAATTTATTCAAAAATCAGTTTTTAAACTTTTAATTTTATATTTGGCTTCTCTTGAATTTTATTTTTTAAAAGATTTAGTTCATCTTATGATTTTTAGTTATCACTTTAAAAAAAAAAATCAGTTCTTTATAGTTTTAATTGAAATTTTACACACTTTGAAAAAAACACTATCTTATTAAATAATTTCTAATTAAAAACTATTTATGTGACGGTTATTGTTGACAACAAACTAAAAGATGGACTAAATTCCTAAAAAAATAACATTTAATGGAGGTTGAATCCGAAATTAGAAATTCAGAAACTTATTTTCAAATAAATTAAATTTAAGGAGATATTTGATCTATTTAGTCATAATTCTATTCATGTTTTAAGATTATTAAGGAATCCAAAGGGGAAAAAAGAAGAAGAAGAATTATCCCTACCCTTCCTTAACTTATTTAGTTTGAATTTTAAGATTAACATTCAAAAATATTTAATAAATTCTTTTAAATGTACCATCAATGTAAAAAATACTCTTTAATATCACCAGAAAATCAACTCGATGAAAATTAGTATTAAAAACAAGTATGATGATTCACCTACCAATAATTTTTTTTTTTTTTTTGGTTTATATATCTAGAGAAAATCTATCAAATCCATATTACGCTATATACGTCAAAAAGTTAAAGTACTTCGAGTTGATCGGATCTAAATATATCACTCAATCAAAAAGGCAATGATAAAAATTGAATTTTAACTTTATCCTAAACAAATAAATATATATTTCTTAATTTTCAAGACATAATCACTTTTAATTACTTAGTTTTTATCACCAAAATTGTTGTCTTGTCCCACATCTATTGTAAAAAAGTTCGATGTTTAGTTATAATTATGAGAAAGAATCTCATTCTTAAAGTTAATGAGAAATAGCAAACTTAGGATCTGATGAATGAAAATTGAGATTGTCTTATTTCACATCTGGATTGTAAAAGGAGGGCCCAATATGTTAAAAAAGAGGGGCCCGATGTGTAAAAATATAGATTGTCTTATTCATATCACTTGGTTATAAGCATAAAGAAAAATTTCAATCTTTAAGTTAGTTTTAAATTTTGAAAATGTCCAATAGCACTTAACAAAAACGGTTTAATGGGAAAAATTGCTATTGTTTTATTACAATTTAATAATTTCATATTGTTATTATCAATTTATGTAATTTGAATATCAAAATATTAGTTTTTTAGCAAATCTTATCCAAATCGTATTTATTTCATTGTTTGTAAGTTGACCGTTAGAATTTTTTTTTTCTGTCGTTAATTTTTTTCCTCTCTTAATTAAAAAATGCTTTTCTTCCATTTTTCAAGAGAGATTCTTTCTATTTAAAAATTTCATATATTAATCCCTCTTATTTTTCATAGTCAATCAAATTATTATTTGTATATAATTTTTTTCAATTTTAAAAAACAACTTTTATGCAATATCATTATCTATTAAAAAAATCAACTTTTGTATTTAATAAAATACAAATATCTATTGGTTGAATTTGATCAATTAAAATTATTAAATAATTAATTTTAACTCAAATTTTCTTTTGTTATGCCAATAAATTTATTCTTGTGATTGTCAATAATTAAATTTTAAATATAGCTGTATTTATTTAATTTTTTTTATCTTCACATGTTTTATAGGATTTTGTTTTCTCATAATAGATTCAAACTTACAATATGCATTTAAAATTGTTATAGCTAGAAATTCTTTTTAATTTTTTAATTTAATTTAATTTTTATTTTTTAAAAGATAGGTTCAAAAAGTGAAAGTTCTTTTTTTAGAAAGAACAAAGAAGATTTAGTGATGAATTTAATGAATTTTTTTTATTTATAGGTATTAACGGTGGAAAAAATTAACAACGATAAAAAAATTAACAAGTGGAAAAAAATAAACGATCAACCCACTAATAACAAAGAAAATATAATTTGGATAAGATTTGCTCAAAAATCGATGTTTTGGGGTTTAAATTACGTAAATTAATAAAAAAAATTAAAATTATCAAATTACAATAGAACAGAGTCAATTTTTGCCATTAAACCCAAGAAAAACTAATTGGAAAGAAGTGCAAAAAATAAAAAAATAACAAAACAATGTCTTTGTAATTATTCACGGAGAAGGATCTTGCAAAGGACATTAACCCCGTAAACTGAAATTGGAAATCCTGTGGTAGCCTTTTTCCCTACACGATCTTTGCTTTGAACTAGAATTTTTTTTTAAAAAAAAATACTAATAGATAAGGTGGATAGCAATTTTAGGTTGAATCGGCCAAAATTTCTCTAATTTTTAGTTTATTTTAAAATCAGTATTTGAATTTTTAATTTTTGAATTTATTCTCTTGAACTTTATTTGTTTTTAGATTTAGAAGGTGTTTGATAATCTATTCAAGTAGCTTAAAAAATTAAGTTATAGTACTTAATATAAAAAAATTGTTTGATAACCTAAATAATCTCACATTAAAAATTTAAGTTCGATCAAAATCTACTCGAAATAGATAAGTTAAAATTTTTAACTTATTACTTTTTTATTAACACGTTCAGTTAAAATTTTTTTAAACTTTTCAAATATATGACTTTATCGTCTTTATATATTCTTATAACTTTAGGTATATAAACCAACCGAAAAACAATCTCTACTATTCCTATTGCTAAAACAGAGGAAACTTAACTATCCAAGTAAATACCAAACAGACTTATTAGGAATATATTTAGTATTTAATTATTCAAGTACTTAAAATTCAGTACTTAATAGATTCAATACTTAATTTTCAGTTTTATCAAACACTTCCTTAATCTATTTTACAATTTTTATCTATCACTCTCTCTTTTAAAAAATTCAATTCTTATTATTTTAGGTTGAAATTTTGCACACTTGTTGGAAAAATTCATCTATTTTTTTTTTTTTTTGGAAAACTCTAGATTTTTTCAAGATTAGAAATTTTTTTTATTTTCTAAACATTAAAATTATAAATTTTTTTCAAAAATCTCAAATTTTTTAGAAAATTCAAGATAAATCTTATTAAATAATTTTTATCATCGAGCTATTTATGTGACTATTATTTATTTATTAAAAAAATAAAAAAATGGACTAAATCTAAAAAAAAAAATTCAAGTGAAGTCAAACTCAAAATTTAAAATTTAAAAACTAATTTTCAAATAGACTAGAGTTTAGAAGATGTTTGACTCATTTAGTCATAATTTTATTCATGTTTTAGGATTATCAAGGAATCTAGAGGAAGGGGAAAAAAAAATATTCTCCCTTCCCTTCCTTAACCACTTGTTTGAATATGGAGGAAAGTGGAGGAGAGGAAAAAAATAGAGACGAAAGGAAAGTTTTCCTCCGTTTGGTTTGGAGAGGAAAGCGAGTGGAAAGAAAAAAAATATTAAATAAATGTCTTTTTGGTAGGACCCATTTTCCTCCCAAAATTGGGAGGAAATGGGGAGAAAAACGTGAGACATATCTTTTGTTTTTTGTTTTTCATATTTTTGCCCTTGCCTCGACTCGTCCCCCTCATTTTCTACTCTCCGCTAACAAATCTACAAAACAAATTTGTAAATCAAGTTATTGAACGTTTTACCCACCACCAAAGCCCCCACCAAATATGGACTCGCTAATCAAAGAGTCTCTCTTACCAAACCCCCTCTCCCTCCATCTTCCCGCAATGCAGCAAAATCCGTCGTCGCCACCACCATAACCACCACTCACAACCCACAAATCCACCCTACCTTTCCTTCTCTACGAGTCCCCAAAATCAAAACTTGCATCATATTTCTTCGATCGTCACTCCACCCGCTTCGTTTCCAAGCTCCATTTCGGGTGGCCCATAACCATCATGGGTACTTGCCACACCTCGGTTGCCCAAGAAGCTCTCTAGAATGTAATAGAGTATGGAAAGGACGAGGGGGCCCTTGAAAACGTGTTGCTTAATTTTGAGTCTCATCTTTCCGGGTCGGATGATTATATTTTCTTACTTCGGGAGCTTGGTAATCAAGGAGACCGTAAAAAAGCCATTTGTTGCTTTGAATTTACGATGAAAAGGGAGAGGAAAAGGAACAAACAAGGTAAATTGACGAGTGCCATGATTAGTACTCTTGGTAGGTTAGGTAAAGGAGAGACTCGCTAAGAGTGTTTTTGAGGTCGCTCTTATCGAAGGTTATGGAAATACTCGTTTATGCTTTCTCTACTATAATTAGTGCATATGGTAGAAGTGGTTATTGTAATGAGGCTATTAAGGTCTTTGATTCAATGAAAGATTATATCTTGAAGCCCAATTTGGTTACTTATAATGCTCGTTATTGATGCCTATGGGAAAGGAGGTGTATGGTTTAAGCTAGTAGTGGAGATTTTTAATGAGATGTTGAGAAATGGAATGCAGCCGGATCGAATTACGTTTAATTCCCTTCTTGTCGTGTGTAGTAGAGGAGGGTTATTGGCGAGCAAGCCGATGCCCTTCGTTTGCTATCCCGGAATTTCTATGTAATGCCCCTGCTATTGTTGATATATCTTAAGATAATGTTCTACGGCCTCTAGTTGCTTAAGTTATTCGGGTAGGGATTTGGCATCTACATTCTCTCAAAGCATGGAAGCCTTTGTTGCCTTTACTAACTTTGATTCTTGTTAATTGTTACATAATGTTTTTGTTCTTTCAATTGTCTTCCCTTTTCCATTTATCCATCATCCGATCCAAGAGTTTTTACTCACGTAGAGAAAATGAATTAATAATCAATTTTTTTATCGAGCTTAATTGATAGGATCGTGGGTAGTGCTTTGTGAATGCATCCATTTCCATCTAAAAATTGACGTCTACTAGGATTTATAATCACATAAGAAAATCAAACCCATAACTTGAGGGTGATAAACAAGTAAGAATCAAAGCTAAAACTTAGGGGCCATGATTTATTTTTGCATATTAGCCCATGACTCTACATAAGAAATTTTCATCATTTCATTCTTCAACCCTTTCACATTTTGGATCCGGTACATGTGAGACCAAACACCTCCCCCAAAGCACCAAAACTAGCTCTCAAACAGCTACAAACAAGCCCCAAAATACCCTTAAAAAATAGCTCTAAACCAACCCCAAAATAGACCTAACACCTATCCAAAGCTCTCAAACTCAACTACGAAACCGTTACCAACAGCCCCCTAAAACCCCTACAAAGCAACCCCTTTGGATAGGTTATTTGAACCATTAAAGAAGCTCCAAAAACACGCCCGGACCAGCTTTAAAACCACCCAAAAAAACCCACCAAAACGGACACAAAACATCCCTCAAAATAGTCGCACGAACACTTTTTGAAGTTACGCAAAAGAAGAAATAAAAATTATTATTAAAAAACAAAAAAGGCTGAACATATTTCCGTGTGTTGGATTGTTGGCAGCCATAACATGATATTGTAGGTTGCATTTGATTGAGTCTTTTTGACTAGAAAATAAGCAACAAAAGTTACCTTGGGCTTTTAGGAACTCTATAAATTTTACGATAGAATTTAGAGTGTTCACTCGAATAACCGGTTATGCTTATCCGTTCAAATATGCAATTTATCTTAATCTTTGTGATTCAATTGACTTTCTATGATTGTTCGCAATGCTATGATATACTCTTTTTTTTTTTAATTGCTAAAAAGTAATTTTTTAATCCAAAAGAAAAAAGTCGAGAAAATGATGGGTTAAAACAACTAACTTATTATATGCATAGATAATGATACATGTTATACATATTTAAATTAATTTTATGTTGATAATTAATTTAAATTGGCTATTGAATTAATTAATTAGTAAACAGTTATCGATTATTTTATGGAGACGATTCATTATCCATCTTATCATTTCGTATAGATGCTACATGCTAGATTTTTATTTTATTATCATTTGTGCTATGTATTATTCAAAAAATATTCATACAAATTTATTATAAGTATTTAAATATAAAAATATAATTATAGGGGTATTATAGTAAATATATAATAATATATTTTCTTTCCTTCCTCTTTTTACAATTACCCAAACAAGAAAAATATACTTTTTTTCCTTTCATTTCTACCTCTATCCAAACAATAAGTGAAAAATAATTTTCTTTCCTCTCTTTTCTTTCCTCTCAAGAGGAAATATCCAAACAAGGGGTAACTTATTTAGTTCTCAATATTTATAAAAAAAAATAATCTTTAAATACTCTGTCAACGGAGAAAGTGCTCTTTTAATATCATCAAAAAAACAACTTGAAAAAAAATTAGCATTAATGGAAATAAAATATGATGATTTACTTACCAATATTTCTTTTTTAGCATGTATGTCTAGAAAAAAGTTTATTAAATTTATATGAGACCATATAAGTACGAAGAAATTAATTGGAAAGAAGTGCAAAAAACAATGCATTTGTAATCATTCATGGACAAGGCAAGCAAAGGACACTAAACCCATGAACTGAAATTGGAAATCTTGTGGTGGTCTCTTTCCGTACACGATCTTTAATTTGGACTAATTTTTTTTTTTTAACAAACATACTAATACATAAGGTGGATAGTAATTTTAGGCTAAATAGGCAAAAATTTCTCCAAATTTTAGTTTATTTGAAAATTATTATTTGAATTTTTAATTTCGAGTGTGATCTTTTCTAAACTTTATTTGTTTTTATATTTAGTCCATTCTATGATTTTCAATTATCACTCTCTTCTTTAAAAAATTCAATTCTCAGTATTTTGAGTTGAGGTTTTGCATAAACATTGAAAAAATTCAATCCATTTCTTAGAAAAATCCTAGATTCTTTTTCAAGGTCAAAGAAATATTTTTTTACTTTTATTTTTTGAACATTAAAAATGTAGAAAATAAAAAATAAAAAATAATTCGAAACGATTCCAAAATTTTTAGAGAATTCTAGATAAATCTTACTAAATGATTTTCATCATGAGATTATTTGTATGACTATTATTTTTGACAAAAACTTAAAAAATGGACTAATTAAAAAGATGAAGTTTTGAAGAAGTCAAACCTGAAATTAGAAGTTCAAAAACTAATTTTCAAATAAACTAAAGTTCAAGAGAGGTTTGATGCATTTAATCATAATTTTATTTATGTTTTAGGATTATCAAGGAATCTAGAGGAAGGAAAAAAAAAAAAATTCTCCCTTGCCTTAACTTATTGAGTTTGAATTTTAGGACCAATATTTTAAAAGATTTAATATTTAAATACACCATCGGCATAAAAAGTGTTCTTTTAATATCGTCGAAAAAACAACTTGACAAAAATTAGCATTAATGGAAATAATGTATGACGGTTTGCCTACCAATATTTCTTTTCTGGCATACATATCTGGAAACACTCTATCAAATCTATATCAAACTATATAAGTCAAAAACTTTAAGTACTTCGATTTAATCAAATCTAAATGTATCACTCGGTCAAAAAAACAATGATAAAAATTAAATTGTAACTTTTTACTGAACACACATACATACATATATTATACACTTGAGACAATGGTATAATTTCATTTCATGGAATGAAGGGGAGATATTATAACCTAGATTTTTTATCCATCCTACACAAACATTGGATAACTCTAACATCGCAATGAGTGTGCAATAAAATGCCAAATGCCTTAACCGAAATCCTGCAAAACGCAATAAGGATTAAAATTAAACAACAAAGGTCTTTTGGACTATCTTGAACAAACATGGTTAACTATCAAATTCTTGCTTCTTGTCCCATTTTGGTGTGCTAGATAATTTCTTGAAATTAAATAAGATAATTTATGTGACAAAATCCCCCTTTTAACATAATAGAATCCTACTCTTGTCTCACCAAAGGTTCTCCACAGATTGCACCAAGACAAAATTCAAAAGTTTGAGGACTCATTCAGAATTTGTAAATAGCTTACTTAAAACCTAAATCGGGAAAAAATGCACATATATATATAATAATTTAGTGAAAATGGGTGAAATTTTTTCTTATTAAAACCAAAAAATGAGAAAAATAAGACTTTATTATTTCTTCACATAGAAGGCAACAACTGCATCTTTTTTTTTTTTTTTTTCCCCCACTCTTTTCATCTTTGGCAACAACAAAAACCCTTTCATAGTCTCATTAGAACCTCACAAACAAGGAAGCTAAATTCTCTCCTCTCCTTCCTCTTGGACCACAGCAAATGTCAGAAACACTCTCATTAGAACCCAGATTTGATTCAAGCTACTCAGAAACGGCGAAACCATCATCAAGCAACACCATCTTGGAAGAAAGAAAAGATGTCATGGTGTCCCCTTTTGGTGATAGTAAACCAACTTTAAGAACAGCCTATTTCTTGAAACCTACTACAACCTCCATGGATGAACCTGAACTTCCTTCAGGCTGCGTCTCTCCAGTACCACCACAAACACTGCAACGCGGTGACTGGTCATTGAAGGTCTCATCAATGTCTTGGACACACCCCCAAAAAGAATGGATCACATGGGTATGTCAAATGCAATCTAAGCACCAAGCTGCATGGAAGAAAGCTGGTATAGATCAAGCAATATTGAATTCTACTTATGATGTTAAAAAATATTTTGAGTTAATTTTTGGGTTATCCGAGAAATGGTGTACTAACACCAATACGTTTGTTTTTCCATGGGGGGAAACTACAATTACTTTAGAGGATGTGCTTGTTTTAGGGGGTTACTCTGTTTTGGGATTCCCTGTTTCATGCTCTGTTGAAAACAGAGAATTGGATATAATTGAAGAGAAATTGATGGATGCTAGAAAGGAAGTCGTCAGGAGTAGAGCTAGGAAAGCATGCCAGAATACCTGGATGAAGATGTTCGTTAACAGTGGGAGTGAAATCGAACATGAAGCATTTCTTGCTTTGTGGTTATCTAGAGCAGTATTTCAAAATTCATCTCATGTAGTGAGGAAAGAGGTTTTCCCTATAGCAATCTGTCTAGCTAGAGGGATTCCAGTAGCTCTTGCACCGGCAGTTCTCGCGAGTATTTACAGGGATTTAAGTCAACTGAAAAGGGCCATTGTTTCAGGTAATGATGAATCTAAACTTGAACTTTTCTCGCCGTTTCAGTTAGTGCAACTTTGGGCATGGGAGAGATTTCCAACTTTGCAGCCAAAGCCTAATGTTCTCAACTTGGGTGATCCAAGATCAGCTCGATGGGACAAAGTTAAATCTTTGAAAGTTGAGAACGTGAGGCTGGCTTTGGATACGGCTGCAGAGAGTTTTCTTTGGCGGCCTTACGCCAAACATTTGCAGAATTGGAATTTCCCCAAGTTTTATAAAGAAAAAGAAGAATTGGTGCAGGTTGATTCAGGATTTGATAGACATTTGGAGTCATTCGTTCGTTGCTTGAGGGTCTCCAAGATTTTTGGGTTAGATTATATGGCGAACTATTTTCCTCATAGAGTGGCAATGCAATTTGGAATGGATCAGGATCTTCCTGACCGTGTTACTCTTTGTCAGTCACGGGAAGTTGCATGGATGAACTATAGCAAACCTATCAATGATTCAAAATTGTATATCCCTTCGCGGCTCTTTGAATCAGATGTTACCACTCGATACTCGAAGTGGTGGAATCAAATGGTTTTAGGCCTGAACGTGAGTGGTTCTGCCCAACAGCAAAGAAGTGCAAAGAGGTCAAAACCAGATCTGCAGGCTTCAAAAGGAAAGCAAATTTACAGATATCCTGATGTTCCGCCTGGTTTTCCTCCCAAAAGGAACATGAAGGAATCGGGAATTTCTGTTGAGAAAGATAAACCAGCAGCTGCAGAAATGTTTGCTTGTTACAGCCAGCAGGATCTTGGCAATGGAGTAATTGCTAATGGTGAGTTCCCTAGTCAATCTCAAAGTAATTTGGCTTCGTTTACGCATGATGGAAATGTCAGGAAAAGGGAACCACTGCCGATATCATCAGGAAGCGAGGCTACCATTGGGGCATCAGGAAGAGCGGTGGATCAGATGGAAGTTGGCCAGGAGAATAGAGCAGGCAGTATAACTTCTAATAGAGGAAGGATCAATGGCAATGCCGGAGGAGCTAATCATAACAAACTTGATATAGGAGAGCTCGAAAATTGGATTAGATTGCTTGAGAGAGAAGTTGCTAAGCTGAAAGCAGCGAGAAGACTTGAACCACAGGTTTGATTAAACCTACAAAAGATTGCTGATTTTCTCCAAATCAAGTACTGTTAATTTAATTATGTTTCTTATTTCATATCATATCATTGATACATTCTTAAATTGGATGGAAAAAAAAATACATTGTTAAATTAGATGAAATCAAGGCATGCACTATTTTGATGGTTAATATTTTAGGCTTATTATAGTGTTTGTTTGTTTGTTTGTTTTTGGGTTTTTTTTTTTTTAATGAGTTTTGTTAGTGTACTAAATTAATGAAGGGTACCCAAGAGGGTTGATTTGAGTGGAAGAAATTTTAGTCGCTTAAATAAGTGATCTCGGGATTCAAGTCTTTATGTATGCTAAAAAAACTTTTTGAGTAGTTGTTTTTGTTTTGTACGCCTAACGTAATATTAAAGGATTAGTATGGGTCTTTAATACCTTGAAGGATTAAAAAAAAAATAGTGCATTCTATTTTGACGGTTGATGTTTTAGGATTGTCAAAGTGTTTAATTGTTTGCTTTTTTTTTTTTTTTTTTTTGAGTTTTGTCAAGTATACTAAATTAATGAAGGATCCACAACCGAAATAGTCGATTTAAGTGGAAGAAGTTTTAATCGTTTAAACAAGTAGTTTCAAGTTCAAGTTTTTGTGTATGTAAAAAACTCTCCGAATAGCTACCACCGCCTTGTGTGCTCGACGTAACAATAAGGGATTAGTGTAGTTTTGGATTCGAGTCTTTGCATATGTAAAAAATCTCTAAATAGTTATCTCTCGCCTTATGTGCTCAATAGAACAATTAAGGATTAATCTGAATTTTTGAGTTTAGGATATCCAGAAGAATTTAAAAAATTAATAAAAGGTCCCGTGATGAAGTTGTTCCCATGTCTTACATGAGTATTGTTTGCAAATGGCTATCTAATATCATTGACCTAGTCATTGGTTGTGACTTGTTTGGTATTATCTTTTTCTTTTTCGACTTACCTTTTCATTTTCAAATAAAAATGCAATAATTCCTCTTCCTGACTTTGATAGGGGAAGAAATTTTGTTTCCATGAAAAAACATTTTAACGTTCTATGCTTTAAACGAAAAAAAAAAAAAATGAAGTTGTGGGATTAAATAGTGTGCATTAATTCTTCACTTCTTCCTTAGCAAAATGTGATATAATCGTAACTGTAAATTAAGGTGAAAGGATGCTGTCTATGATGATTTGGATTGAAATACCATGAGTTTTGGAGTGAAATTGAAATTTTAAATGGCTGGTGTTTTACTAGCAAAACTGCAGCTACCATTCATAATCTCTATTAGTTCAGTCAAAGCAAGAACATAATCACCATGTGAGGGGTAAAAAATGCTATCAACCCATATTTCTAATTTCAATTTAATGGGTTCAAAACCCTTCGTAAGAACCTTCTCATAATCACCATGTCAGCATGCTTGGCTTTGGCAGCAAGACTGGAAATCTCTCCCATGCCCAAAGTTGCACTAACTGCAATGGCGAGAAAAGTTCCAGTATAGATTCATTATTATCCGCAACAATGGCCCTTTTCAGCTCATTCAAATCCCTGTAAATACTCGCGCGAACTGCAGGTGCAAGAGCTATTGAGTTCCCTCTAGCTCGACGGGTTGCTATAGTGAGGACCTCTTTCTTTATTACCTGAGACGGATTTTGGAACGCACATCTTGATAACCACAGTGCAAGAAATGCCTCCTGTTCGATTTCACTCCCACTATTAATGAACTTCTTCATCCATGCCCACTGACAGACCTTGATAACTCTACTCCAGCTTATTTCCAATCTAGCATCCATCAGTTTCCCTTCAATCAAATTCAATTCTCCGTTTAGAACAGAGTACGAAACACAAAACAGAGTAACCCCCTCAAACAACCACATCCTCTAATGTAATAGTAGCTTCTCCCCATGGAACAATGAATGTATTGGTGTTAGGAAACCATTTTTCTGACAAACCAAAAAATCAAATCACCATATTTATGCATATCGTAAGTAGAATTCAAGATTGCTTCATGAATACCAGCTTTTTTCCAAGCAGCTTGATGCATAGATTGCATACGCGTTACCCGAGCATTCCAATCATTCAACCGGTGTCTCCAAGCAGTGAACCTAACCTTCAATGACCAGTTCTTACATGATGGCAGTGGAGAGATAGAATAGACTAAAGGAAGCTCAGTTTCATCCATGGAGGTTGTAGTGGGTTTCAAGAAATGGGCTGTTCTTAAAGTTGGCTTACTATCACCGTTAAGTGAAACCATGAATTCTTCTCTTTCTTCAAAGGTGGTATTAGATGGTTCAGCCATTGTTGAGTATCTTGAATCGATTTTCTTGACGTGTGATTCTACTGATACGAGGAATAGCCTAGGTAAGGGTGGGGTAACAAAAATGTTAAGGGGAGAAAAAGTTTGCTTTGCCAAGTGACTTCACAGACTTAAACCACAAGCTCCCACCTTTTATATTTGTCAAGTCTCCTAATTCTTAGGGACTGCCCCTAAGAATTTAGGGGAGTACATTCATTCTAAACAAGATCATGATCTTGTGGACAAAAAAGGGAGGAAAAAAAAAACTGCCTAATATTTCCAATTTCACAATTAAATGCTGTCTAGTCTAGTGACCTTGCAAGACCCTTCTGGCCTTCTCCATGAATAATTCTTACAAGCCTATGCGATGGTTTGCAGTTTGTTAGCTTATCCCATATCCAGTATCCACTTATAATGGCTAAGCAAGCAGAAATTTTCACCATTACCATGAGATTGTTTTTTAGCTACATGTATCGTTGCAGAAAAACCAGCAAAAAAAAACATACAATTGTTTTTGCAATGAGACTATTTGAGTTCAAAACTAACAATTTGCTACATAATTCATGCAACAAAGTAACAAAACATACAGCCAAAGCTCTACGGAGTTCTACATATCCGATCCAACATGCTAATTCTATCTGCATTAACTATATGGTGGAATTGTTGTCTAGACAAACCTTCTTCCGAGCAAATTTAGCCGCCTTTAGGTCATCAATTTCTTTCCTAAGCTTGTTGATACGAGCTTTAAGTTCTAATCCATCTGCCCAACTATCAAAACAACCTCCAATTCCTCTTTTGTTGTCTTTTAGAAAACCAAAATTGTCAATTGAACTAGGACTATCTATGTTGTTCTTGCTTGTGTTTTTCATGGTTGTGCTTCCTTTTCCACTCGTAAGTTCATTCTGAAAGTTGTTTCCCTTCAATTTGATATCTGCATCTACATTTGTAACATCATTGCTTTCTCGCAGCAGAAGATAATAGACTATGTGCGGTGGTCGGCAAAGACTTGCCATCACCATCTATTCCATGATCAACACTTTTGAGCTTGTTGTTATGAATCAAGAACTCCTTCACTCGTTAGAGCATCCTCCTCCTCGAGTCAAGTACTTCAATAAGTTGACATTTTGAATTGAAACTAGGTGGATGAAGAGGATAATGGTCTAAATTCTTCCCTTTGAAACTTGAATCCGAAATGTCTAAACATTTTATACTTCGCTTCCAACATTTGGCTTATAATGTCTTGATGGAATATATAACATTATATTCTTGATTTGCTTATCAAAACTCTTCCATGCAAGTTCTTGGGTTTTACTCGCTTCTCTCTAGAAGACCCGACAGATCTTGATCTAGACCAAACCGCATAGCCACTCGATGTGGACAGATCTGTTCTATACACCCTACTCCAACTAATTCACATGCATTCAAGCATCGACCAAAGGACTTAAATTCTTCATTTAACTCAACATCAACACACACCCACTTCTCTTCATCACCATAAATTTTGTAACACAAACTCCTTACAGCCGTTGTATAAGGGCGCCATTGGAAACCTCCTTCACAATCTAAGGCCAATCTTACATTCCCAAGGATTGAACTATTCACATCGTGCCATCTAGTTAGTCTTGGCACTTTAAAGTCAGTCACATTAGGATTTGGTTGCAAATTTGTAAACCTCTCCCAAGCCCAAACCTGAACTATATAAAATGGTGACCAAATTGTGAGTTCTAACTTTTTATCAGCATTGCCATCCTCAAAAGACTCTAACTCGGATAAAGCTAGAATTTTTTCCTTCAAAAAAGTCAAGTCTCTGCAAATGCTTGCAAGGAGAGCAGGTCCAAGTGCAATTTTGATACCTCGAGCTAAACGAACAGCAACTGGAAAAAGATGATTGGAAATGCCATTAAGTGGGTAACTAGGAAAAACAAACCTTGACAACCATAGTGTAAGAAAAGCCTCGTGCTCGATTCTGCTGTTATTTTCCATGACAAATTTAATCCAGGACCTATGGTCTGTTTTTTTTGCTTTAGACCGCCCCAACTCTTTTCTGATTTCCATAAGCTTCCGCTCAACACCTTTCAATTCCTCTGTTTCAAGAGGACTAAAAACAGGGGATCACAAAACAGAATACCCTGCTACTAACATATCTTCTAAGGTGATCGTTGCTTCCCCCCAAGGAAAAATGAATGTGTTAGTTTCAGAACACCATTTCTCTGCTAACCCAAGAAGCAAATCATTGTTTCTTCTGATTTGGTAAACTGAACTCAGAACTGCTTCATAGATTCCAGCTTTCTTCCACGTTGATTCATGCAAAGCAACCATTTTATCAACCCATTCTTTCCATTTCTTCTGTGGGCTTCTCCACCCATGAAATGCAATATTTTTGGGTTCAAAAGTTGATGGCAAAAAATAATTAGAGGCTGAAGGGTGTTTAGGAGTGTTTTCACCAATGGAGGTAATTGAGGGCTTGAGAAAATGGGCTGTTCTTAGTGTTGGTTCTGCATTGCTAGTGAGTGAAACCATACGTTCCTTTCTTTCTTCAACAATGGTGTCTTTTGGTTTCTCCATTGAAAAATTGGGTCCAGTGGGCAATGGTTTTTTGCAGAGACAGAGAGAAGGGGAGGTTAAGGCCTAGGGAGGTAAAAAGTTTATAGCATGATTGATTATTTTTGAACTAGCAACATGACTTTATGAGATTCTATTCGACCATTCACATTCACGGACTCAAAGCTTACTCTGTAAGCAACATCTCCGCTACAAGTCTTCCTAAATTTTGTTTATTTCTAAAATATACATTTAATTAGTAATTAAACTAGGCTAATCAGGTAACCATTTAAATAAGTTTTAATATTTTAATATTTTTTAAATCAAAAATCAATAAATATTAATTTTGAAGATTTTTAAATTTAATATGTCTTTTATAGTATTTAATATCATTCGTGTTTTTATTTTTAAATTTAAATATATTTTATAAATATATATGATTTTGAAAAGTAAAAAAATATAAAATTAATTTTTTATATCAGTACAAATTCAATCGAAGAAGAAGTTAAGAATTGATATAGAAAGAGTGTTTTAGTAATCTATATTAAAAGTGTATTTAATTTTAGTTAATGGATCAATAATATTGTTTTAAAAACCTAATTATTCTCCACTTAATAGTTCAATCTATTTTTTATTTCACATGGACGTAATTTTAAAATTTATTTTTTTATTATTGAAAATATAATTATAAAATTATATAGAGAAATGATCATTTCCAACGATGAATTGTTTGATGTATTTACGTCACCTTAAACAAATAAGGAATCAAACTTTTTTGATATGTTGATCGATTTCAAAACAAGACATAATCACTCAAAAATTATTTTTTGGTGAGGTTGTATAAAAAAATAAAAAATAAAAATTAGTTAAAGGGAAATTTTAATTTTTGAGCAAATAACAAAAAATATACAAAATATACAAAAATATAAAAAAAGAAAATTAGAAAGAGAGAAAGTAGGGCCAAAAGTGCAGGCCTGACACGCAAGCTAGTATTAAGGAGAAAAAAGGGTGATGATGCTTCTTTTATATATATATATATATATATATATATATATATATATAAGAAATCAACATCACTCAAAATCACTATTTTTTTTCTTCTTTTGAAGTGATTGTTTTTGTGATATGAGCCGAACTGTTGGATAAAAAAAAAAACAAACAAACAAACACAAATAACGCAGCAAAATCTTTTTATCCTTGCTCCAACAATCAAATATGACTTATCCTTACTTGAATAATCAAATAAGGGTTATAAAAAATACACAAGACTAAACAAATAACTAATAATCTAAAAAATAGAATATCAATCACACAAAGAACACATAAATTTTATGTTGCAAACCTTCTCAATTTGAAAAGAAAAATCAATAAGATTGGAGTTCACAAAGACTTCCGTTATCAACAAGATCATGATCTTGATCTTTTGGACAAAAAAGAGAGGGAAAAAAACTGTCTAATATTTCCAATTTCACAATTAAATGCGGTCTAGTCTTGTGACCTTGCAAGACCCTTCTGGCCTTCTCCATGAATAATTCCTACAAGCCTATGCGATGGTTTGCAGTTTGTTAGCTTATCCCATATCCAAGTATCCATTGATAATGGCGAAGCAAGCAGAAATTTTCACCATTACCATGAGATTGTTTTTTAGCTACATGCATCGTTACAAACAAACCAACGACAAAACACTAGCAAAAAAACATACAATTAGTTTTGCAATGAGACTATTTGAGTTCAAAACTAACAATTTGCTTCATAATTCATGCAACAAAGTAACAAAACATACAGCCAAAGCGCTACGGAATTCTATATACCCGATCCAACATGCTAATTCCATTTGTATTGACTACATGGTGGAATTGTTGTCTAGACAAACCTTCTTCCGAGCAAATTTAGCAGACCTTTAGGTCATCAATTTCTTTCCTAAGCTTGTTGATTCGAGCTTCGAGTTCTAATCCATCCGAGCGAATATCAAAAGAACCCTCGGTTCCTCCTTTTTTGTCTTTTAGAAAACTAGAACTCGTCAATTAGACTAAGGTTATCTACATTGTTCTTGCTTGTGTTTTTCATGGCCGTGCTTCCTTTTCCACTCCTAGGTTCATTGTGAAAGCGGTTTTCCTTCAATTTGATCTTCGCATCTACATTTTTAACATCGTTGCTTTCTGCAGTAGAAGATAATAGACTATGTGTAGTAGGCGGCAAAGACTTGCCATCATCATCTATTCCATGATCGACACTTTTTAGCTTGTTATTGTAAATCAAGAACTCCTTCATCGTTAGATTATCCTCCTCATCGAGTCGAGTGAATTGAAACCAAGCGGATAAAGAGGATGATGATCAAAATTCTTCCCTTTGAAACTCGAACCGGGAATGTCTAAATAGTTTAGACTTCCACTTCCATCTTTCCCACCGTGCACCGATTGCTTCCACCATTCCGAGTATCTTTCAGGTAACATCCGGCTTAAGATGTCTTGATGGAATATATAGCACCGTATTCTTGATTTGCTTATCAAAACTCTTCCATGCAAGTTCTTGAGTTTTACTACTTCTCTCGACAAGACTTGGCGGATCTTGATCTATACCAAACCGCATAGCCACTCGATGCGGGCGATACAATTCTATACACCCTATTCCAACTAATTCACATGCATTCAAGCATCGGGCAAAGCACTTTAATTCTTCATTCAACTCAACATCAACACGCACCCACTTCTCTTTATCACCATAAATTTTGTAACTCAAACTCCCCATAGCCGTTGTATAAGGGCGCCATCGAAAACTTCCTTCGGAATCTAGGGCCAATCTTACATTCAGAAGGGTTAAACTATTCATATTGTGCCATCTAGCTAATCTTGGCCCTTCAAAATCGGTCAAATTAGGATTTGGTTGCAAATTTGTAAACCTCTCCCAAGCCCAAACCTGAACTATATAAAATGGTGACCAAATTGTGAGTTCTAACTTTTTATCAGCATTGCCATCCTCAAAAGACTCTAACTTGGATAAAGCTAGAATTTTTTCCTTCAACAAAGTCAAGTCTCTGTAAATGCTTGCAAGAAGAGCAGGTCCAAGTGCAATTTTGATACCTCTAGCTAAACAAACAGCGACTGGAAAAAGATGTTTGGAAATGCCATTAAGTGGGTGACTAGGAAAAACAAACCTTGACAACCATAGTGTAAGAAAAGCCTCGTGCTCGACTCTGCTGTTATTTTCCATGACAAATTTAATCCAGGACGTATGGTCTGTTTTCTTTGCTTTAGACCGCCCCAACTCTTTTCTGATTTCCATAAGCTTCCGCTCAACACCTTTCAATTCCTCTGTTTCAAGAGGACTAAAAACAGGGGATCCCAAAACAGAGTACCCTGCTACCAACATATCTTCTAAGGTGATCGTTGCTTCCCCCCAAGGAAAAATGAATGTGTTAGTTTCAGAACACCATTTCTCTGCTAACCCAAGAAGCAAATCATTGTTTCTTCTGATTTGGTAAACTGAACTCAGAACTGCTTCATAGATTCCAGCTTTCTTCCACGTTGATTCATGCAAAGCAACCATTTTATCAACCCATTCTTTCCACTTCTTCTGTGGGCTTCTCCACCCATGAAATGCAATATTTTTGGGTTCAAAAGTTGATGGCAAAAAATAATTAGGGTGTGAAGGGTGTTTAGGAGTGTTTTCACCAATGGAGGAGGTAACTGAGGGCTTGAGAAAATGGGCTGTTCTTAGTTTTGGTTTTTCATTGCCAGTGAGTGAAACCATACGTTCCTCTCTTTCTTCAACAATGGTTTCTTTTGTTTTCTCCATTGAAAAATTGGGTCCAGTGGGCAATGGTTTTTTGCAGACACAGAGAGAAGAGGAGGTTAAGGCCTAGGCAGGTAAAAAGTTTATAGCATGATTGATTATTTATGAACTAGCAACATGACTTTATGAGATTCTATGCGCCAATTCACATTCATGGACTCAAAGCTTACTCTGGAAGCTACATCTCCACTACACATCTTCCTAAATTTTGTTTATTTCTAAAATGTACGTTTAATTAGTAATTAAGCTAGGCTAATCAGGTAACCATTTCAATAAGTTTTAATATTTTAATATTACCTTAAACAAATAAGGAATCACACTTTTTTAGATGTTGATCAATTTCAAAACAAGACATAATCAGTCAAAATTTATTTTTTGATGAGGTTGCATAAAAAAAAATAAAAAATAATAATTAATTAAAGGGAAATTTTAATTTTTGAGCAAATAACAAAAAATTCAAAAAAATTCAAAAATTCAAAAAATTAAAGGCAAGAAAGTAGGCCTAAAAGCTCGGGCCTGACATGCAAGCTAGCTTTAAGGCGGGAAAAAAAGGGTGATGATGCTTCTTTTTGATATATATATTATAAGAAATCAATATCACTCAAAATCACTAATTTTCTTTTCTTTCCAAGTGCTTGTTTTTGTGATATGAGCCAAACTGTTGGACAAAAAATATAATATCCTTACTTAAATAATGAAATAAGGGTTACAAATAAATACCTAAAACAAAATCTTTTAAATTTGAGAAGAAAAAACCATGAGATCAAAATTCACAAAGACTTCCACTATCAACAATAATGGATAATACAAGAAGTCCTCTTTAGATTAAACTAAAAGAATACACCAACCACAAGCATCAAAGGTCACCATTGGCAAACTTCATCGATAAATGATACACAAAAAAAGGAGAAGAAATCAAATTCAGATTTCATAAGAAACCAATACTTGTTGCGAGCATCATATCTTCCTCTTCATGAATCAAAACTAGATCTTTACCGTTTAGAATGTGCGTCTGTCTTTTCCGAATATGTCCATCAAATTTGAGCTCAATCTAATAGTTAGCGAACTCAAAAACTCAAATTTATCCCGACTAATCTGTTCTAAAACTTTCTTTCTTTTTTCTTTGCAACTGTGGCTCTCTCTCGTTTTCTTTTGGTGTTTCTTTCTACTTTCTTCTATAATCCGATCTCGGAATTAAAAAAAAAAAAGATATGTTTTTTGAAAAATACTCAAATTATCTTCCAAGTAATTAAAAAAGTCCTCCTTCATATGGAATCTAAGAATAGACTCATGTAGGTAAATTTTTGAACTATCCTCCAACCAGGAGGGAAACCATTATAAACCTGGTACATGACTATTGTTATGGAATAGAAACATAAGTCACATGAAAACCACTAAATTATTGTGAACGAACAGAGACTAATAGAACAAAGCCAAGAGAAAACTTAAGGTTTTATTTGATAATAAAAAATAAATAATAGGAACGAGAAAATTTTATTTTAAAAAATGATAAAATAATAATAATAATAATAAATCGAATAAAAATTAAATTGTCCTCTCCTTTCTCTCGGCAGCTACGTGTCTACCAAAAAAAGGACACCTTTCTTCTGTAGATGTCGGCTGAACAAACAAATCAAACTTTTCTTTTTGGCTTTTCACTTTTACATCACCAAAAATGCACACACTATACAAATTGGTCTTCAAATTCCTTTCCTTTTCAATTCAGTCCCTTTCTTATTTAATTTTATTTTTCCTAATCAATCCTTATTGTGTTATGCAAAGGATTCTAATAGATTAGACCTTAAGTATATGTCTAATATTTTTTAACTGCGTTACTAAAATTAACTGACGAAAAAATATGATGACAATAAAATATATATCGTACATAAATGATATAAAGACAAAAAAAAAAAAAAAGGTAGACAGATTAAATACACACCAAAAGGAAACCAGGGCGAACATTTCCACAATTGCCGCTGTCTTTCTCACCGAAATTCCCAACTCCTTAACGTTAGTTTTGGGACGAAAACCAAGACCAGGAGGAACATCAGGATCTCCATCCTTTTCCTTTTCCTGTTTCCAACACTATTTATTTATTATTATATTTAATAATTTTCCTGCACTTATGCTACCAAAACCTATAATACATGCATGAGAAACTAAAAAAAATATATATATTAAACAAGTAAACAATTGAATCTATGTAAAATATATACTGTATGTGCACAATTATTTTGAAATCAACAGGTATACATCATATAGACTATATCCATGATTTAAAAATATATAATTTGCACTGTTGTTTGCAGAAATTAAGACTAGTGTACCTAAGAATCATAATGACCAACCTAGAGTCTAGAAAATATGCCACTGATTAAGGTCTTTAATAAGTCCAGGACTTATGCCACGGATTAAGGACTTTAATAAATCCAGGACTTAAGATTACATGTCTTAAATTATTACATAAAAGGTACAAAACATGTCACAATTTTCATTGTATTTCAAGACACACAAGCGTACAACTTTGACAAACAGGAAAACATATATATTTAAAAAAAAAAAAAAAACTAAAAGAACTTAGGCAAATGAACAGTAAATACTGTTTATTTGCCTTGGTTTACTATCCATTACAGTTCACAAAGTAGCAATTTTTTAATTTTCTACAGTGACATTTTCGTAATTTTCTTATTGTTCTTTAGATAAAGCTAGAATTTTTTCCTTCTATAAAGTCAAGTCCCTGTAAATGCTTGCAAGAAGGGCAGGTCCAAGTGCAAGTTTCATGCCTCTAGCTAGACAAACAGCAATTGGAAAAAAGATGTTTGGAAATGCCATTAAATGGGTTACTAGGAAAAACAAACTTTCACAACCATAGTGTAAGAAAAGCCTCGAGCTCGACTCCGCTGTTGTTTTCCATGACAAATTTAATCCAAGAAGCATGGTCTGCTTTTCTTGATTTAGACCGCTCCAATTGTTTTTTGATTTACCTAAGCTTCCGCTCAGCTGCTTTCAATTCTCTTGTTTCTAGAGGAGTAAAAACAGGGGATCCCAAAACAGAGTACCCTGCTACCAACATAGCTTCTAAGGCGATCATAGCTTCCCCCAAAGGAAAAATGAATGTGTTAGTTTCAGAACACCATTTCTCTGCTAACCCAAGAAGCAAATCATCGTTTCTTCTGATTTGGTAAATTGAACTCAGAACTGCTTCATAGATTCCAGCTTTCTTCCAAGTTGATTCATGCAAAGCAGCCATTTTATCAAGCCATTCTTTCCACTTGTTCTGTGGGCATCTCCACCCATGAAATGCAATTTTAAAAGGCCTATTTTTGGGTTCAAATGTAGACGGCAAAAAATAATTAAAGTGTGAAGGGTGATTAGGAGTGTTTTTACCAATGGAGGAGGTAATTGAGGGCTTGAGAAAATGGGTTGTTCTTGGTGTTGGTTTTGCATTGCTAGTGAGTGAAACCATGAGTTCCTTCCTTTCTTCGACAATGGTTTCTTTTGGTTTCTCCATAAAAATTGGGACCAGTGGGTAATGGTTTTTTGCAGAGACAAAGAGAAGGGGAGGCTAAGGCCTAGGGAAGTAAAAGGTTTCCGGCATGATTGTTTTGTTTTTGAGCTACCCACATGGCTTTATGGGATATGATGCGACCATTAACATCCATGGACTCAAAGATTACTCTGACAGCTACGCCTCCACTTTAAGGCCTAAGTAAGCCTTTAATAAGTTTTTTAAAACCAAAATCAATAAATATTAATGAGCACTGTCTTTGTGGGACCAATCCATACAAGCCTTAAACGACAAAAACTAAACCAAAACGATGTGGTTTCATGCCAAAATAAGAACAACACAGGACGGTGCACTATCCAGTTTGCTTGTGTTGCGTCTAAAGCTACACTATATATATATATATATATATATATATATATATATATAACTCAAAATCACTAATTTTTTTTCTTTTCAAGTGGTATTTATGGGAGGAAATTTCAAAGTCTCCGTTTTGGAACAATGGCTGGCTTGGGTTTTGGAATTGGATTCATGATTTTTTTTCCTTCAAAATTTGGATTATTTTTTCTAGAGTAAATTATAAAATAATCCTTCTTGTTTTAAAAAATGAATTAATTAACATTTCTCATATAAAAAAGTAATCATTGTTATAAAGGAAATGATAGCAATGATACAATCGAAAAGAAAAATAATGAAAAAATGATTTCACTATAAAATAAAGAAAATAAAAGAGATAACAACTCCAAATAACCTCTCAATCTCTACAAAATACTTTTATATTAGCTAATGAACAATTAAGCATATTTATAGGCTTCAAGATTAAGACGAGAATTGAAAAAGACTATAAAATATTAAAAGATGCATGAATAATTGAATAAATTACATAACCCTTTCAATTTCTCATATTGAATGGTGAATTGAATTATATGAGTAGTGGAGAATATGAAATGGTCATGAACATTCATTATTTCATAACACTACCTCTTGAATATTCATCGTACAAGGAACATGCCTCATTAAAACCTTAATAGGAAAAAACCCGAGTGGAAAAAAATCTTAATGAAGAAAAAAGAGTACAATATTCCTTGTATACATTAATCTTAATGTTGGGCTCTCCTTATTGAAAACATTATTTAAGATCTTTAAAACGACACATTTCAATCTTGTGAATCATCTTCTCAAAAGTTGTGGTAGGTAATGCTTTAGTGAACAAATCGTTAGATTGTCACTTAATCGAATTCTTCATTTAATTGAATTTATGCATAGCATTATCTTTATATGATATTGTTGAAACTTCTTTTGCTACTAGACAAATTATATGTCTCTCGGACATGATCGATCGTTGATTTTAGCCAAACACATTCTCGACTTATCTTATAAATTGGTATTTTTACACGGTTTGAATATCTAAGAGCTATAGTTTGCTTCATAGAGCATTATGATATAGTTGTGTCACCAAGTGTAAATATATAACCCGCTTGTGAGCGAGTTTTGTATGGATCAAATAAATAATCTGCATTTGCATAACCAATTAAACATGACTTTGATTTATTTAAGTAAAATAAATACCATATCAAATTTTCCTCGAAGATAACGTAGGAAATATTTAATTTCATTCCAATCTCCATATTTGAATAGAATTATGACTTGCTAATAAATTTATAGAAAAGACCATATCATGTCGAGTATTATTAGCAAGATAATCAATGTGCACTAGTGGTAGTAAGATATGGTACTTCAAGACCAAGTAGTTCTTTGTTATCTTCTCGAGGTTAAAAAGGGTCATTTTGGATATTAAGTGAATGAACTCGTCATTGGGCTAGTCAATAGATGATCTTTATATAGATTAATTGTAGAACTTTTTCTATATAAATTGACTAATGAATAAAAATATAATTCTCTAAGTGCTCGAACTGTAGGTCAAGATAAAATTTTGTTGCCCAAGATATTCGTATCAAATTCTCCTTTTAGCTAACTCATAGAATTTAAAATCTCTTCACGAGTTTCAATAATATTTAAATCATCATAATATATAGTAACTATTACAAACCCCTTTTCGAATTTCTTTATAAAAACACATAAATAAATATGGTTATTTTTTTTAACTTTCTTCCAATAAATATTTATTGAAATAATTATACCACATGCATATAGGTTAGTAATAAAGAGTAGATATTAAAAAATATAAAAAAAATATAAAAAGTATAGCAGAAATTGAATTTCTAAAAATTAAAATAATAAAACTAATAATAAAATAATTCGATAGAGATCTTTATAATTTAATTGAATTCATTTCTCGAGAATATGTATTACATGTTTTAAGCATCTTAAGTCCTTTTAGAACTTTCATATAGATATCATTTCAAATGAACAAATAAATTGTGATTACATTTATTAAATGCGGGCATATGAATTTTTATATATATATTTTTCTAGGCTAATGAGATAATAAAATATAATTGCATCCATTATAGGAGAATATGTCTCTTCATAGTCAATGTCGAGTTCTTTGTAAAAACTTTTATGTTAAAAGTCTTGCTTTGTATCTTACAATTTCATCTTTCTTGTTTCATTTTTGTATAAATATATATTTGTATTCCATTAGCTTAACATCTTCGGGTATTTTAGCTATGGGTTCAAAAAATTACTCTTTTGTAAGAGAATATAATTTTGTGGAGATTGCTATTTTCATTTAGACCAATTATCATCATGTCAATATTCTTCAATAAATTTAGGCTTAGGATCCTTATTTTCATTCAAGATATCAATTTAAATATTATATGTAAAAATTTTATCAATAAATGTTTCTTTTTGGTCCTATTTTCTTCTCGTATGACATAATTTATCAAAATCTCTTGATTTTTCTCAAGCATTTGGACTTCTTCCGAAGCTATTATAAAAAATATCTTGGATCATTTTATGAATATTAACATCCTTTATTTTAATTATTTTTCCTTTTCTTTTGGGGATTTTTGCTTTTAGAATCGATCGGTCTTCCATACTTTAGTCGTGCTTTAGATTCACTAGCTATAACATCAATAAATTGTCCTTCTAGGACATCAATTCTAATAGGAGCATTCTCGGTGGAGATATGCATTTTACTTACTTAGTTAGAATCTAAGAATGCATCCGGCAATTAGTTTACAATATTTTGTAAATAAATTATCTTTTAAACTTCTAGTTCACATTGTTTTGTAAGAGGATCAAGATGATATAAGATAAAGTACTTCATGTAATCTCTTTTTTCAACATTTTCAACTCGTTTATTTTGTTTATTCTCTCCCCTAATGTTGAAAAGACTGTTTCATCATATTGACGAGTTGATAAATCGAGCGATAAAAATATCCCTCATTCATGGTTCAAGATATTGAATCATTGAAGAGGATTCAAATCCAATATATATTTTCAATCTCTTTTAAGTACCCATTTTAGCTTATTATGGAGGAACACTATGGATATATACTACAATGCCAAAAATTCTTAAATAAGAAATATTTGGCTAATGAACATTAACCACTTAAAAGGGGAGAGTTTCTTATAACTTATGGATCCGATGCAAATAAGTGTTGTTGCATGTAAGATTGCATATCCCCAAACATAAACAAGAAGTTTTGTTGGTTTAGCTATCAATTAGAGCCTTTTGATAAATAATTTTGCCAAACCTTTACGAGTATGAAAAATGAGAAATAGGATGTTTAGCCTTTATTCTAATAGACAATCGGTAATCATTTAATACTTGAGAAATAAATTCATTAGCATTATCAATGTGACTTGTTTTGATGGCATAATCTAAAAATTATGCTCGAAATCAAATTATTTGCTATCAATCTTGAAAACATCGGGCTTTAAGTAGATAGTAAGCATATATATGACCATCTTATGGATGCATTTATTAAAATCATAAAATATTTAAATGGTCCACATGGTGGATGAATTGATCCATATATATCACCTTAAATACATTCTAAAAATACTAAAAATTCAATCTCAATTTTACTTGGTGGTAGCTTAATAATCAATTTGCATTGAGAACATTCGAACATGAAAATTCATTAAATTGAAGAATCTTTTAACTCTTTAATAGATGTCCATATGAATTTTTAATAATTTTTTGCATCATGAAAGACCTAAGATAATGCAACTGGTCATGCCACATAATAAAAATATTTGAATTAGTAAACTTCGGTTTACTATACAATTTATTTCAATTATTCAAATATGTGCAATAAAAATCAAAAGAGAAAACGGATAAATTTTTCAATACATATTTTTTTTACCCAATATAATAATTATAATATATAAGTATTCAATATTTTTCACATTTGATATCAATTTAGATGAATATCTTTGAAACTCAATAAATTTCTATGAGATTTTACATCATTTATAATAAAATTTATCATTTCGGATAAAATATATTTGCTATTCTAGAGCCTTTAAATTATGTCACTTTAAGTAATAATATATCGACTCTTCTAGAACTTTTAAAAGTTATCTCTTCAAGTAATAATATATTCACTCCTCTAGAGCTTCGAAATTTTATCTCTTCGAGTCATGATATAATCGCTTTTTTAAAACCTTCAAAATTTATCTTTTTAGGTAATAATATAGTCATTGTTTTGGAGCTTTTGATTAGATTGATATTATCATATATAATACTAATATAAAATAAATAATTAAATACAAAATAAATAAATTCTTCATAAACATAAATAAATAAATAAATAGTAAAATAACTTTATAATTATCTTTATGCAATAGAAATTATAAGAAAATATAAAATATCTTATTTATAAATAAAAAAGCTAACAAGTTATTAATTTCAATTACGTCTATTTTGATAGTTAAAGTTAGCCTCTATATTTTACTCTTTTCTTTTTCGACGAGGCTTGACAAAGCTTAATGAGGTGCTTTAGTGTAGGGTAGGTACACGATCAATGTCAATTCATACCATATCTATTACATTTATCTTCGAATGTTGACTTTATCTATTTTTTTTCATAGTTGTCCACTTCGGTGGTGATATATAATATTATGATCATTATAATTATAATGATAATTATTTTGACCACATCCATGGCTATGACTATATCTTCGTCCATGCCTAAAATTATTATAAATTGTCACATTCACTTCGGAGATTGGAGTAGATCTAATCGAACGATATTTATTCTTTTTTATCAATAGCTTTTCATTTTATTTAGCCACAACAAGTATGAAATTGATTCAAAATATTTCTTAAATTCTTTTTTTCGATATACTACTCGTAAATGCATATTCGAGACATAAAAAGTAGATGATATTAACTCGAATCAAGCACTCCCGATCAATAATTCTTGCCCAAAATTTCAAGGACCACAAAATCAAATTTTGTGATGGTTGACATCATTAAAATTGTATACTGTAAAGTATAATAATAATATTAGGAAATAAAGACAAAGTTTACTAATAAAATTTAAATAAAACAAACATAATAATAAAATTTGAACTTTTCAAATAATATATATTAGATTATTAGATTCCGTATATTAAATCATTTAAGTTTTTTAAATGTATATTCTATGCATCATTAGATTTAAAGTACATGATAAATTAGATAAACACCTCGTAATGATCTAAATAATTTAAATCTTTGGTTAGAGCACTTGAGTAGAAGAAATCCAATTGTTACAATAAATGATAAATTCTTTTGATAGATACATACGTCATTGTCTATTATTTCGATTGGTTAGAGCTTTGTGCGATAACGTGTTATAAAAAAATGATAGCAATTATAGAATTGGAGAGAAAAATGATGAAGAAATAATTTCATTATGAAATAAAGAAAATGCAAGAGATAACAACTCCAAATAACCTCTTAATCTCTACAAAATACCCGTACATCAACTAGAACAATCAAACCTATTTATAGGCTTCAAGATTAAAAGAAATTATAAAATATTAAAAGATGCATAAATAATTGAATAAATTACATCACCTTTTCAATTTTTCATATTGAATTATAAATTGAATAATGGACGAGTGAAAATGTGAAATGTTCATAAACATTCATTATTTATATAGGTCAAGGAATTTAAAGGTTTCCACTATTTATTATTTGAGTAAAATAGGAAAATAATTAATGTATGAAAACAACAAATTTATGATACTGTATTAGGTTTAAATTTATTGGAAAAAACAAACACTTTAAAGGTTTTATTTAATATTAATTATCTGCTCTCTGCTGACTACACTCGAATGGTTAAAAACTAAAATTACCGTGGGAAATTCTATAATAATAATCAGCACTAAACCGACAGAATCAGCGTCTCGTCTTCCTTTTAAACTTGTTTAGGGCCGGCTCTCTGTCTTCTCTCAAAGGCCAACCTGCTGCCGCTAATCTAACTCTCTTTCTCTTTCGAAACCCTAACTCTCTGTTTCTTAATGGCACCAAAACGCCCCCTCCCGTTGAAGATCCACCCTCTTTTTCTAGCTCTGAAGAAGAAGAAGAGGAAGAAACTTCCAGTGGTGAAGAGGAAGAGTTATCTGATGATGAACAAAATCAACCCTCTCCTCATCAACCACAAACAAAAACCACTCGAACCCAAAAGTCAATCCCCAAAAATCCCGAACCCTCGACTGAACAATCTGAATCTGAGTCCAAATCAGAATCTGGGTCGGATATTGGTGTGGGAGAGGACAGAATGGAATGTGAGATGGAGAGAGATTCAAGTGTCAAAAAGGTTTCGGAGTCTTATAAAAGAATGGATGATTATGTTGTGACGAGGGGCTTGGATTTTGTGCATGGGAGGAAGAAGGCGGAGATGAAAGATAAGTGGAGGAAGTTGCGGGTTGCTGAACTGGAGCTTTTTTTGAAGCGGAAAGAATTGATAGAAGAACAAGCTAAGTTAATGCTGTCAGCTTTTAAGTCTCGAAAGTACACGTAGGGGTTATATTCAATATTCTGTTTTTAAGGTTCAACTCTCATTCAGTAATGTTATGCTTTATTTCTCATTTAGCAGATATTTTGTCATTTATTTCTTATTTTTGCAGTTATTTTGTGTTTGATTAATGGATTTCTTATAATTTTTGGAATCAAATTCATAGCTGCCCTTAACAGCCTTTCTTTATAGTTTCTTAAGAAATAACTTGTGTCATCACTGGTTGTGGGAAATTCATCTTCACTCCCTGAAGAGTTTACTCAAATTATGAATATATATTGTATTTGCAGAAAGAACTTCCATTAAAGTATGTTGTTTAAATTTATATATCAAGGAAACATTCTCTCGTAGTCAATATATCCTTGAAAATAAGTTTGGCAGATGATGGAAACTAATGGCTTCAGGGGGATCAGTGGATAACTTTTGAGATGTCTTTTTTTTTTGGATATCTGCCTTATGTTGAATGATGTCCACACCACATGGGTTAATGATGCTGAGCAATATGAGTATTAAAGATGGTTTGGTGAAGGTGGCATGTTCCGACATATGGTATTGCCATACATACACGCCCACCAATATCTGATGCTCTAAAGTAGAGTAAAAAATTATGATCCACTTTAAGTGAAAACACCAAGTAATTGACTGATATCAAGCCTCTAAAAAGATCAAAAGATATATATAACACAAGTGCTTCAAGCTAGGAAATTCTGACCAGAAGAACTGATATTGTGTTTTCAATCAGAAATCCTTAGGAATTCATAATTCCCTTAATCTTTACTTTGTCAGAAAGAAAAAAGATTCAAAATCTTGTTCTTTGAAGTCTTGTCTTGTGAGATTTAGATTCTGACAATGAATTGTGAGGGGCTAGATGAGTGGAGAGAGTTTTTTAAGGGTGCAAATGGAAGTATATTTAAGGTCATCAGCAGTGCCATCACAGTCGCTGCAAAAGATCACCCTGAAGAGTTCAAACTCAAAAGGGGTGAAATTGTTGAGACAGTATACTCATCCTTTTGTTCCCTGCATTGTTATCATCACCACTATGAGCTAAGCCAGTCTGAGAAGGTAAAACAGGAGAGCAGCTTTAAAGATGAGCCTCAAGGTGTTAAAAGTAGGCCATATGGAAATGCAGTTGATTTGGCACATTGTAAGGAGGCTGGGTGTGACGTGATCAGAGATGATGCAAATATGAAGACTGTCCCAGAAAGCAAATATAGTTACAGCGAAGCAGAGGCCTGAGTTGAAATGATCGAGCGAGAAAAAGAGGACATCGTGGAGGTTTTAAGAATTAAGGGGGTTCTTTGCAATAGTCAAGAAGAGGTTAGTCCAACTTGTTGCTCCAGGACTAAATCAAATTTAGGATTTATTAGCCTAAAAATTGTTTAGGGGTTACTGATAGTTGCTGTAATCAAACACTTCATATACTTTGAGGTTTCATTCTTATAGTTCTGATTGATCTGTTGCGATCTGATGCAGTCCAAAGCAGGACTATTCTAGTCACTGAGGAGGCTACAATTGATGGATCTGTCGGTTGAGATTCTGCAGGTTTGAATCTGAGAAGAAGGTTTTTTGGCTTATTTATCTTGCACATTATTTCAGAATATGTTTGAATCTTTGGCTGTGCAATTATTCATTGCATACAAATGAAGCTTTTAAGTCAAAGTTGTGAAACACTTGTTTTGATGTACTTCAAAAAAGTGTAATCAAAATGTGATTTAGTCTTTAATCTTTATACCATAACATTTATTATGGTATAAATCAACAAAAGTACGTTTTGCAGGCATTTCCATTCTCAATGCTCTTCATAAAGTACTTCAAAAAATTCAATACTGTAGCTTTCCTTTTATTGAACTGATGAACAAGTCTGAATTTATTATTCCTTAATCTTTATAACTCAGAACGGCTCCATGTGCCATTTCCATGAGGAAGGATCCATGCAGCATCTTGGATTATCCAGATCACAGCTTTATTCATGTCTAAAAGACGTAATGGAACCAAATTTATCAATAATCAGACTTTAAGAGACTTTGAGACCTTCTAGATGTGACATTCTTAATTGCTTGAATTAGATTGCTTATCAAATCGCTTGTTTTCCTTGTAGAAGTCAAGAATGCGATTGTTTTGCTTTGGCATGTGTGCGTTTCAACTCATTAAATGATGTTACCTTAAATTTATAAAATTATCTGCATGTAGTAATAGATTGGCTTTCTTTCTGTAACGACTGCACTCCGCAGGCAATATAATTTCAGCTGTTGTAAACTCCCTGTGAATTGATTGCCTTTGGCATGAGAGTTTGTGCATTTCTCATTTATTTGTGTTCTTTGAGGGCACAAAAATATGGATCAGTGTTAAGGCTCCTCAGCAGCACAAGGAAAAGCCTATTAGTCAGTTTGCTGAGAGACTAATTTGGTATGTACTGGCTGTATTAAGCTAAACACAAAAATTAACATGACATCTTCGAATATCATTTCCATAACCAAAAATCTTCCGTGCCTATCTTACTAGAAAACACAAGCTTTTCTGCCTGGCAAAATTTAGAGATCACAATGAGTCTGCAGATGGCTTAAATAGAACAGCTCCTCGAGCTTATTAGCAACCTTACATTGTTTACATCCGTTGTAGTGATTGGAAGAACAAGGCAATGATTATCTTCAATCTATGGCACCAATAGCAGGTAGATTCACTAGGAGTTCATTAGAAGTGTTGCTTTCTTTTAGCCATCCCTTCTCTAGGAACTAAACTTGAACTAATTGTTGATAATTTTTCCTTTCAGAGAGTTCCACTCCATCAGACTCAACTCAATCTTTTGCTTGTGAAGAAGTTGGACTCCCTGCACCTTAATTGGATGCTATAAATGCTGTCTTTTTTTCACAAACTCCAATGGAGCCCTCTAAGGTATATGTGTGTGTTCGATTATTATTTAGAGCAATATGTTCCGCATTGGATTTTTTAGAATTCATTTGATAAATCTGTTTCCTTTTGTTGGCCTGGCCCCATGGAAAGTTCTTCGACGAGATAGACGTAGACGAAAGTGAGTAATTTATCCTCAAATAGCTTGTCTACCTGCGTTTCAAAGTCTTTATACTCTGAACTTACTGCTTATATTATGTGTTGTTGCAGATCCTCAGAACAGTGTAGATACTGTCAATGCTAAGAATGGGTCGCAACTTACCAAGGAGGTCAACATGCCAGCCAAGGATGGCCGGCACCAAGGGATGAGGCAAGGATATGTTCCTACGTCGGCAAAGCGTGTCAGAAGTCAACCCTCTAGTCCTGAGACTGCCAAATGGAAACCTCCCATGCCGAATTTGAAAATGAAGATGAAAAATGGAACTGACTCTCTGGAAAGACCTGATAAGGTTACAAGTTATATTCATTAATAAGATGTCGAGAGGTTTTACAGCTTTTAGTCCCTTTCTAACTCATTTTATTAATTTGTTCTAATAGAAAGCCAAGCCTCTGGATGATGTTACAGTCCAAGCGAAAGTCGAAACCAGAAAGAACAAACTTCCTGAAGGGTTTCAACAAGTCGAAAAAGGTTTGTGTTGTCTTTCCTTTCACTCTGATGCACCTTCTTTGTTTTTTTTTTTTTTTTTTCTTTGGTTCTGTTTGTGAAAGAGAGGATTTCTTTCTATTTTTTTTAAACAGGAAAGAAGCAACGTTTACAAGTACCTGTGTCAAAGCTTACTACACTCAAAAAAGCCAGTCACTCAAACAATGAGCATGACCCCATGAGACCACAAGAGCAGGGCTTGAACAAAATGATCGTGCATGTAATATATACATATATGTATAAACTCGATCGTATTCACGTAGCATGTATGCAATACATTCATGATTAAAAAATTGACCGTCAAAATATTCCTTAATATTTTCTAAAATAGGACACCAAAAAATACAAAAAAAAAAAAAAAAAGAAGGAAATTCACACAAAAAATTATGACGTACAATGATATCTGATTGCTTAGGTATAGTGTCTTCAACTATTCATTATCATTAGCTGGAATGCATTTCTGGATTTGACATGGCTGGAAGGCCTAGTAATTTAGCAAGGATTTTAATTAAAATTTTGGGGAGTTGTAACGAGGTTGACCTTAGATTATTATTATTATTATTTGAAAAAAAAAACCATAGATTAATGAAAATCTTGGTAGAGTAAATTGTAAATTAGTCCCTCTATTTTGAAGAAATGAATTAATTAGTTCTTATTTTAAAAACTAATTATTTATTCCTTTGATCAATATTAATCACATTTAATTTAATATTATTTTATTTTAAAAAAAGTTTTTTTTTCTTCGTAACCCTTCCATATTTTTTACTATTTTTTAAAAACTATAAATCAATATAAATTGAAAAGAAACAAAAAGATTAAGTTAAAAAAAATAATATAAAAATTAAATAATTAGTTTTTGAAATAAAGAGAGCTAATTAACTCATTTCTCCAAACTAAAAAGACTAATATATATATATATATATATATATATATATATATATAACTAATGGTGAAGGAATTGATTATTCTATGAACTATTTATAAAAACTCAAGCTCTTGACTTTTCTCTCATTAGAGTTTCGATTCAGCGTTGATAAGGCCACCAACACTATGTTAACCTTATCGTATAGTCCAAGTTAAAAATAAACACAAATACATTTTACCTAAATTACTTAGGTGTCTCCTTCGATTTTTTTTAACCTTTCTTGAAACTCAATCTACATTATTCTTCATATTTGCATGGTTCCCTTCTACTTTGTAACTGGTTATGTACCCATAAATATGAAATCTGTTGGCAAAAATTAAAGGCCTGTCTCCAAGTCGATAATGAGAGCAAGCATATATAGATAATGTTATTAATTTCTTGATCAATGAATTTTTCCGGTGAGTCCATAATGACTTGTATATTTTCGTAAGTCGATAGTTTTTCTTGGTGTATATATATACAGTGAAGTATCATCGAGTCAATTTTTGAATATATATACAGAAAGAGGCTTTTGAATATATATAGATAGTGGAGTACCAACTTTTAAGTCAAATTAACAAAAATTTTATAACAAAATATAAGAATTTTTTGGATAAAAGAATATTTTTTCTTCACCATTTTTTCTTTATTTGATTTTTCAATATTTAGATAGAGATTGGATTTTTATCTTCCTTTTTTTTCAAATATTATTTTATTTAAATTCGGTAAAAAAAGAAAAAAGAGTAAAGGAACAAGATTAAGATGGGAAAAAAAAAAAAACAAGTTGACACATGTTGCAATCATGTGGGGCTAATGGTGAGATTTAACACTTTTATTCCAAAAAGTTAATGAGATGATGAAATTAAGACAAAAACTAAATATAAAAAAAACGAACTTAAGACCGGAAAAAAGAAGAAGAGGGACTCGATAAAGACAAAACAAAGAATTGAGAGACCCTTGCAACCATTAATTCCCTAAACTTAGTAGGATCTAATCTAAAAAAAAATCATTTAAACTACAAAAAGCAAAAACCACATCATTGTTAAACCCACACTTAATATGCAATACCACTGACCTAAGACTTAAAGTAGGTTGAGACTATTACCGGCAATGTCTCACATTCGAAGTGCAATGAATGCAAGACACAAAGTCTCATGATCTTTACTATTCTAAAGTAATTAACATTTACATAGGAGAGAAAAACTATAGAGCTTCGTGCCGATAACGTGTTATAAAAGAAATGGTAGCATTGATAGAATTAGAGAGAAAAATGATGAAGAAATGATTTCATTATGAAATAAAGAAAAGACAAGAGATAACAACTCTAAATAACCTCTCAATCTTTACAAAATACTTGTATATCAATTAATTGAACAATCAAGCCTATTTATAAGCTTTAAAATTAGGGAGAGAATTGAAAGAGACTATAAAATATTAAAAGATGCATAAATAATTGAATAAATTCAATTTTTCATATTAAATGGTGAATTGAATCATATGAATAGTGGAGAATATGAAATGACCATAGACATTCATTATTTCATAACAATCATTTAATTTTCATAATTTTAAATTTACTTATAACATAGTTTTTTTTTTCAATAGTTTTTTTTTTCAATTCTTTTATAAAAATATAAAAAACATATAAAAAGATTTACGAGTTTGTGAAGTGAAAATAATATTAAATTAAATATAATAATATTAATTAAATAATAATAATAGTTTTTGAACGAATAAACTAATTAATTCATTTCTTATGACTAAAAGGTTAATTTATAATTTACTCCATTTTTCTGTCAGGAGAATCCGTGGAACTGTGCAAGACACTTTCTCAGACGAGAAGATGATCATGTGAAAAGGGTATTTACACATAAACTAATCTAAAATTATTTTTAGAGCAGAGAAAAAGGGACCCTCTTCTGTAGAAATAATGCTTAACAATCTTAAAACACGAACCATCGAAATAATGGATGCTTTGATTTCATAAAAATATAAAATTAAAATTAAGTGAACTTAATTTGGACAAAACCAGCATTCTCCTGTAGGTTCACTCAAACCTGTGCCCAATTCCTTTTGCTGCTTTTCGCTTAGCAACCTCTTTCTCAAGCATTCCAATCCGAGTTTCGAGCTCTGGCACTTGTATTTCAAGTCTGTAACCATTAGCTACTCCACTGCCATTGATGCTTGTTATGTTAGAAGTCATACTACCTACTCTACTCTCTTGCTCAACTCCCATATGATCCATTGCTCTCCCTGAAGCCTTCATGGTAACCTTATTATCTGAAATCTTTTGTACTGATTTTGACTGTACTGTAATTTCCCTGTTTGCTCCATCATGTCTACATGAAGCTGGGTAACTTTGAGATTGACCAGGCAACTCTCCATTACCAATTGGTCCATCGCCAAAACTCTGTTGAGTAAACATTTCCACAATTGTGGCTGTGTCTTTGTCAACCGAAATTCCCAATTCCTTAATTTTACTTTTGGGACGAAAACCAGGAGGAACATCAGGATCTCTATGCTTTTCCTTTTCCTTAGAAGCTTGTGTGGGACGAAAACCAGGACGAAAATCAGGAGCTCTATTTGTTTCCTTTTCCTTTGAAGCCTGAGTGTCCCATTTGGACAGCTCCAGGCTTCTATCCTGTTGGATAGGAACACTTATTGTGTCTTGCAGGCCTAAAATTGATTGTTTCCACCACTTCAAGTATCGAGTGGTAACATCCGATTCAAAGAGTCGTGATGGGATATAGAATTTTGAATCACTAATAGGCTTGCTATAGTTCATCCATGCAACCCCCTTGTCTCATCAAGAGCAACACAGCCGGGAAGATCCTGATCCATTCCAAATTGCATTGCTACTCGATGAGGAAAGTAGTTCTCCATATAGTCTAACCCAGTAAGTTTGGAGACCCTCAAGCAACGAACAAACGACTCCAAATGTCTATCTAATCCTGAATCAACCGGCACTAACTCTTCCTTTTCTCTATAAAACTTGGGGAAACTCCAATTCTGCAAACTTTTGGCATATGGCCGCCAGAGAAAACTCTCTGCAGCTGAATCCAAAGCCAACCTCACATTTTTAACTTTCAAAATTTTAGCGTTGTCCCATCGAGCTGATCTTGGATCACCAAAGTTGAGCATGTTTGGCTGTGGCAGCAAGACTGGAAATCTCTCCCAAGCCCAAAGTTGCACTAACTGCAATGGCGAGAAAAGCTTATGTTCAGATTCATTATTATCCACAACAATGGCCCTTTTCAGTTGATTCAAATCCCTGTAAATACTCGCGAGGACTGCAGGTGCAAGAGCTACTGAGATCCCTCTAGCTAGACGGATTGCTATTGGGAGAACCTCTTTCTGTATTATCCGAGATGGAGTTTGGAACACATATCTTGATAACCACAGTGCAAGAAATGCCTCGTGTTCCATTTCACTCCCACTATTAATGAATTTCTTCATCCATGCCGACTGACAGGCTTTTTTAGTACTACTCCTACCTATTTCCGCTCTAGCATCCATCAATTTCCCTTCAATCATCTTCAATTCTCTGTTTTGAACAGGGCATGAAACAGGGGATCCCAAAACAGAGCAACCCCCTAAAACAATCACATCCTCTAAAGTGATAGTAGCTTCTCCCCATGGAAAAATGAATGTATTGGTGTTAGAGCACCATTTTTCCGACAACCCAAAAATCAAATCACCATATTGATGTATATCATAAGTAGAATTCAAGATTGCTTCATGAATACCTGATTTTTTCCAAGCAGCTTGATGCATAGATCGCATACGCGTTACCCAAGCATTCCAAACGTCCAACCGGCGTCTCCAAGCAGCGAACCTAACCTTCAATGGCCAGTTCTTACATGATGGTAGTGGAGAGATAGAATACCCTAAAGGAAGCTCAGTTTCATCCATGGAGGTTGTAGTGGGTTTCAAGAAATGGGCTCTTCTTAAGGTTGGCTCACTATCGCCAATAAGTGAAACCATGACTTCTTCTCTTTCTTCAAAGACGTTGTTAGATGGTTCAGCCATTGTTGAGTGTCTCGAATCAACGTTCTTGACGTGGGATTCTACTGATCCGAGGGTTTTTGAGGGAGAAATTAGGGAGGTAGTTGTTTCCTTATCTGCGAAGATATCATAAAGTTTCTTTCTTTCTCAATAATATGTTTTCAAAATGCCTATTAGTGTAGTGTGGACTCGCCCTTTTTGCCACTGCAAATTCAAGTGAAAAACACTCCCTCCAAAAGAGCAGCACAACGTTCCGTTGAAGGGCATTTTTGTCAAAATAGTTTTCTCTGCCGCAAATGAGACGAGAACAAGATGGCATCTTGGACCCCATTTTGTTCAACAGTGCAGAAAAAGGAAAAACTTTCCCGTTTGAGTTCAATCTTCATAGGGTTCTTCTGATTGTGAAGAAAAGGTTTAGCCGCCCCAAAACATTATTGAGGGACATCTGACGAAGCTCTACATCGTATCTTGCCTTTGCCTATGGCTTTGCTGTCACATAGAGCTTGGCCAGAGGGGGTAGGTGACGCAGATGGCATTTATGTGCAGAGTTATTTTTGTTCTTGGCACTTGGCATGGCCCTTCGTCAGTTTGTCCAGCTGGGAAACCAAATTTAGCAATCCTCTATTAGCACAAAACCAACCATTGCAATCGGAATTCATTTTTTTTTGCAAATCTTTATGACGAAATGCAATGGATTTTAGGCTAGACTGATAGAGAATGGGGTGGTTCTTTTCTCTTTAAGACCTTTTGCCTTTGTGCATTGGAATTTGATCTTTAGTACGGTTGTGTTTGGTTTATGGTTAAAGAGGGTTAGGTGTTAATCCCTTAACCTTCTTTAACCAGGTTTGGAAAGCTTTAGAGGTGGCGACAGGTAAGGAGTTAGCCTTAGATGGGGGTGGGGTGAAGTAAAAAAAATAAAAATTGCTGATTAATAAATATGTCAAAACAAAATAGTACTTAAGCTCTTATTTTGGCTTTTAGTGAATTTTTTTAGCCTCTTTTTCGTAATTGTTCTTTAATTTTAGTCATTGAAATTTTACTATAGTTGATTTTTGTCTCCGTAAGATTTTTTTTGGGTTTCAAAGAAATTTTTCATTATATTTTAATCCTTATTTTATGATTTTTTAATTTTTTAATTTTGGTCATTGAATTTGTATCCTTATTATACTAAAATTAAATAGAGTTTTACTACATTAAGCGTTTTTATGGCTTTTAATGAAATTTAATTTTTTTATTCATATTTTGTGATTTTTTTTAATCATTAAAGTTTATCATGTTTGATTTTTTGTTTTTACTTTTTGCATAATAATTTTTTTATTCTTATTGTTTATAAATTTTTTTAGTTTTTAGTGAAAGTTTTTTTATCCTTATTTTATGATTTTTATTATTACAACACCATTGCAATCGTCATCCATTGTTTTTGCAAATCTTTATTAAGAAATCCAATGAATTTTAGGCTAGACTGCTAGAGAATGAGGCGGTGCTTTTCTCTTTAAGACCTTTGCCTTTGAGTATTGGAATTAGATCTTTAGTAAGGTTGTGTTTGGTTTATGGTTAAAGAGGATTAGGCTTTTATACCTTAACCTTCTTTAACCAGGTTTGGAAAGCTTTAGAGGTGGCGAGGGATAAGGTGTTAGCCTAGATGGGGATGGGGTGAAAAAATAAAAAATGCTAATTAATAAATATGCTAAAACAAAATAGTAGTTAAGCTATTATTTTGGCTTTTAGTGATTTTTTTTCAGTCTTTGTTTTGTAATTTTTTTTTTACTTTAGTAATTGAAGTTTTACTATATTTGATTTTTATCTCTGTTTTTTAGCTTTTGATGAAACTTTTCATTATATTTTGGTCTTTATTTTATGATTTTTTTTTTAATTTTGGTCATTGAATTTGTATCCTTACAAAACTAAAATTAAATATAGTTTTACTACACTCGGCCTTTATTTGGCTTTTAATGAAACTTTTTTTTTCTGTCTTGATTCATATTTTGTGTTTTTTTTTTTATCATTAAAGTTTTATTATGTTTGATTTTTTGTTCTTACCTTATGCATAATAGGTTTTTTGTTCATAAGCTTTTTTTGGCTTTTAGTGAAAGTTTCTTTTTTTGTCATTATTTTATGATTTTTATTTTGTTTTGATCATTTAAATTTTATTATGTGTAATTTTTATCTTTATTTTTTGCATTATGGGTTTTGAAATATTTCAATTTCATCATGATTTGATAAAAGTTTTTTTGTTTTGTTTTGGATAGTCTCTTTTTATCTTATTAATAAACTACAAATGAAGAACGTATAGTGAAAATTAATTATTCAAAATTCAAAAAACTACCATGTTATTATTTTAATAATCAGTTATTATACAGATTTATAATAAATTAAACAACATCTAATTAGTAATAGGCTTTTCTTTTAGCTAATTTCACAACAATACACAAAATATATGCTTTGATCTCACTATTTTCTAAATTTTTTTTTCACATTATTCTTTTAAATAATTGTTTTTAACTCTGTATTTTGTATGCATGAACACATAAGAATAATGTGAGTGACGCTCACCCTGTAGCAACGTACAATAATTCAAAGAATTAACAGCAGCATGTGCCATTAATTCCCTTTTGTGATGTCAAAGTCGATCACTTTCTAACCTCAAGAATTGCCATTTATAAACGATTCTGAAGCATTTTCCTTGCTTTCATCAACCTCCGCATCGCTGCCTTTCTTATTGTTAAAGATATGGACACATTCTGTCCTGTAACAGAATGTAAAAGATGCAAAATGGGTAGACTAAAAACAAAAAATAAACAAAAAGAAGCAACCTGCAAATTTGACACACGTTGTCCTGAATCTGGTGAGGATGATGATAGTGATATTTTGAGGGTCATGATCAATAAAAATATTTGGTTGATAATTTTTAAAACAATTAGTATGTTCAAATGAAAAAAAAAAGTAAAATTTGTATACTTAGTTGAAAAAAAAAATTAAAAATTAGTATAGTGTAATTATTCTTTAATTTCTCCATAGCAAGAACAAAGCCTAACTCTTTGCTTTTTCCTTCTTTCCTTCAGGTTGAAAAAGCCTTGAAGAGTTGCTGCAATATTTGGTTTCCTTCATTCTCCCAAGAAATAAACAGAAGACACTACTTAGGGATTCTAAGTATTCTGTGAAAAACTCTTGAAACCCAGGAATGGAAGAAGCAACAGAAGCTATACTTGATATAAGAGAAGAGCAAATGGTGTCACCCACTGGTGACAGCATACCCACGCTAAGAACAGGCCATTTCCTCAAACCTATCGTGGCCACCAATAGAAGGTCAGTCCCCAAGCCCCCTGCATTTTCTCGTTCTTCTTTTCCTTCAACCTTTGAGCCTAAAGAATGGCCTCTGAAGGTACACTTCAGTGGTTGGCGAAAACCGAAACCAAGCTGGGCTACATGGGTTCATAGTTTGGAATCCAAGTATCAATCTTTATGGAAGAAGGCTGGAATTTATGAAGCCATCATGAGTTCTACATTCATTACTCTAAGAGACTATGATTTTGTCATTGGACTTGCAGAGAAATGGTGCCCTAAAACCAACACATTTGTATTTCCTTGGGGAGAAGCAACCATCACCTTAGAGGACATGATCATTTTGGGACGGTACTCCGTTTTGGGGTCCCCTGTCTCTTCATGCTCTGATTTTGAAAGCAGAGAATTGAAGGAGGCTGAAGATAAACTAGCTGAAGCTGGGAGGGATATGAGCAAGGGTAAGGTTGTTAAGCCTTGCCAATGTAAATGGATGGAGAAGTTTATGAACAGTGGGAGTGAAATTGAGCACGAAGCTTTTCTTTCACTTTGGCTAGCAAGGTATGTTTTTCGAGATTCTGAAATAGCACTTAAGGGCCATTTTTTTCCAATAGCAATTCAATTAGCAAGAGGCGCACGTATTGCACTTGCTCCAGCAGTTCTGGCTAGCATTTATAGAGACTTGAATTTATTGAAAGAAACAATTGTTGCTACCAGTAAGTTTGAGAAAGGTGACAAAGCTCATGATGTGTTGGTACTTAAACTTTGGTCACCGCTTAACTTAGTCCAGCTTTGGGGTTGGGAGAGGTTTCCAACGTTCCAACCAAAGCCCCTGTTCATCAAGAATGGTGATCCCAGATGTGCTTTGTGGGATAGAGTGAAAGGTGTCAAAGTTGAGAATGTAAGGCTGGCTTTGGATTCAGCTGGAGAGACTTTTCGATGGCGGCCTTATGCAAACCCAGGAGTAAGAGTTGGGCGCTACCCTGAGTTTTACAGAGAGAAAGAAGAATGGCTGGACCTGGGATTGAATGAAGACTTGCTGTCATTTGCCCTATGCTTGAGGGTGTCCAGGATGGATGGTCTAGGCTGTACCGAACTGTATCTTCCACATAGAGTGGCAATGCAATTTGGAATGGATCAAGATATACCGGCTCATGTTGCTCAATCAAATGAAAGCTGCGAATGTGCTTTGAACAATTACATTGGGCCATTTTCTAATTCCAAATTCTATTTTCCCCCTCGATTATTTGAGTCTGATGTTACCACTAGATACTTGAACTGGTGGAGAGGGTCGGTACAAGATGTGATTAAGGATGCGACTGAAGGTGTTGTGCGAAGGAAAAGAAGTTTCAGGAAAAGATCAAATCGAGTTCCATGGGTTTCGATAAAGAACAAAGACAATGATTTAGATGTTCGATTTGGTTTTCCTCCCAAACCTGACAGGATGACAGAAGGAGATGCTGATGAGAATGAAAAAACAACTTCGGAAGATTTATTAAGGAACTGTGGCATTCAGAATAGTTTAGACAGAAGGCCAAAGACATCTGGTGATATTTCTGGTCCCGCTGAGAGTCCTTTAATTGAAAAAACAGCTGGTGCAGGTTTTAGAAAGATTGAGTTGCTGACAGAACCAGAAGGAAAAACTGTGCAAGTTAATGTTGGAAAGGATGGTCTGCGAAAAGCCTTAGAACATGCATGTGTGAGCAAAGCTGAGACTTCTGCAAACATGGGAAGCATCAATAGAGATGCAGAAGAAAGCAATGCCCCCATATTTCAGATTCCGATAATGGAACTTGAAGCTCGGATTGTTAGGCTTGAGACGGTAATGGCCAAGAAAAAAGCAGAAAAATTTGGAGCCATGTTTTTAGAAAATGCCACAGAAGAATCTCCTCTCGTGATGAATTAAGGGCTATGCATTAGCTTGCCACATTTTGTCCAGTTTGCAATACCATACTAGTTTTTGATGAATTACAACAGCCAAATGTAGTGAGATGGACTGCACCATTTTCAGGCCCTCTTTTGTCCATGAGATCTTACTTAGGTACATGTTTTATTTGATGCTTGTTAGTCTCGTAACACTTGCATCCTCGTTAACTTCTGCATATCTATGTAATTTTGTTGCTTGAATTTCAAACCTTCAAGTTGGCTCCAAATGTGCAGTTTCCTTCTCTAAATGTTTCATTCACTCACCCTCTTGAGTTTAATCTCTAAAAGAATTAAAAGCTTTTAAATTTTGATCGACCATAACTTATTACAGTACTATTTATCATCGAAGAAGCAGATTATAAGCTAAAAGGTTTGTGTAAGATGCTGTAATTCAGTGCTAAGAGAAATGAAGTCAGAAGAAACAAACTACATATAAGGAGTAGGAATTCATTATCAATTGGTTAAGAAAATCAGAAACATACTATGTTGTAAGCATTACTATATATACCAAGTTTTGAAAAGCAAACGTTCTACAAATCAACTGAGCCAAGTCAGATTTTTTTCAGGCTATGTTTCCTTAGCAGCAACTCCTTTACGTGATTCTTTTCTTCCCTACGGTCAAACTCTCGCTGCAATTTTTCGCACAGCGCCTAGTATGAGAAAGATAGCCAAAAGAATGAATTCTAAGAATGGCTAGCCGTCTGATGGTTGTTCATTGTGTCATCTGACAACAACATCAGCAGTGACAATATTAGTAACGCCAACATAAGCATAAATAATAGTAATCTTACCCTTAGCCACACACAGTCACATGATTGTGGTGCCTTGCCAGCCATGATTAATTAACTGTTAAGATTGTATAAGAGGAGGAAACACAGAAAGATGGCAAGATGCAATGAGGAGTGTAAGAAAGTCTAATTGCATGGGATATATATAAGAACAAATTCAACATAAACATCATTCGAGTAACGTTAAATTGCTTTGTATTTTTAGCATAAACAGTATATTTTAGGTCCACAACGCATGTTTCAGTGTAAAATTGTTTAGCCTGATTAAGCTCTCTGCCTTTGTCTTTTCTGTACCAATTGAAAAATATGCTTTGTAATATTATCAGCTAGCAAATCAAATTATATGGAATCAGAGAAATGAATTCTTGAATTAAACTGTACTTTAAGCCTGTTTAATCAATGTATGGTGAGCAGTCCCTTTTTAATTAACTCCTAATGTTTCACTTCATCATGGTATTAGCAATTTCAAACAGGCTAAAGAAATCAGTCGAAAGTGATTAGTGATTCAACAAATTTGACTGACAGTAGAACAAGAGAGATCGCATGAGAAACTTGACTGGTATATTAGATGAAGACAGAGGTTTTTGATACAATATTATCTTGGACAAAAAGGAAAATTAAAAGCTTTTACCATATCTCTACTTCTGTTCTAATGCAGAAAGGATAAGCCCTGAAAATGAACAAAATCTGTTGGAGCCTTGTTACAGTAACTGGTTCTCTACTCCTTGTCCAATATCATGGCATGCTTCTCTGCTTTTTTCCTTTAATGGGGTTTCAAAAAGAAAAAAGATTAGAATCCTAGCAGCATTAACAATTACATGAAAGGAGTATGACTGGACTGCTTGACATGATTCAGCATTTTTTACCCCAATTTCAAAACATTTACAGAGTTGTCCTGAAGCAGGTACAGAGAATGATTGTCCTTGGACTGCAACCAGATTTTTCCTGACAAAACCAGACAAACCCATCTTAGGATACCAGCTGTCTTTGGTACAACACCTGTCATATCATTGCGATTTTCCTCGTTACGAGCCCCATACTCAGGAGCTTTCAAGGGATCATGTCACTGCCCATATTTGAAAGGAGAGAGCATAGTTTTAAAAAAACGTCCCTTACAGTCTTATAACGGAATCAACACCATCTGTTACCATTTTATGGTGTCACAAGACAAGAGACGGCGTGTCACATATATAACGGCCATTATGCCGTTAAATAACATTGATTGACGGCCGTTATATCCGTTATTGTACGACATAACGCTATTATCTTACAACCTCCATTGATATTTAGATATGTGTTTCCAAGCTTCATATGTGTTTTAAAGATTCAATTTTCTGTCGATTTAATTGAAACATAAAGAAAAAATAGGAGGGAGAATCGGTTTTAAATGAAGAAAGATAAAAGAATGTTGTTTTCAAATATAGGGGGAAAAAAAGGACAAAAGGAAGTAGAACAGCTGCTGCTAGAACAAAACAGAAGTGTCGCAGGGAAGGAGAAGAAGATAGGGAGGGAGGCGGCTGATTCTAGATTCGCTGGGAGCTTTGACTTAAACCTAGAAGATTACGATTTTTTCTGGCTAATCTTATACATGGGTTCATGGTAAATAAACCTATTGATAAATTCTTTTTCGGCCTTTTTAAGTGATAATTGGAATAGGTTGAGAAATTATTTTTATACCTTCTTTTACTTTATATAATTTAAAATAGTTAATAATGTTTTAGAGTGATTCTAGGAAAAGAGATCTCACTACTTATCATCCACAAAGCCAGTCTCTAGTGAAGAAAGCCTTCACAACCCAACAATGGAAGACTCATCAGACACCATTTTTGAGGAGAGAGAAGAGCTGATGGTTTCACCAGTAGGTAAAGGTAAGGGTAACCCAAGTCTAAGAACAGCCTATTTTCTGAAACTAACCACAATGACTCCACCTTTTCAGCTGTCTTCACATTCTCTCATTACCAAGCTCAAAACTTGCCTCTGAAAGTCCACTTCAAAGCTTTGTGAAATTCAAAGCCTGGTAGGAAAATGTGGGTTAAAAGCAATCATCTGCTCAACCCGTAGAATCATCAGACATGAAGAACTAGTTCTTGGAGTAGCAGAGAAGTGGTGTCCTGAGACTAATACCTTCATCTTTCCATGGGGTGAAGCAACAGTCACTTTAGAGGATGTATTGTTTAATGGTGGCTTTCCTGTTTTAGTGCAGCCTGTTTCAAGCCTTTTTGTGGCAGAAGATGAAAGAAAAATATACGAGAATCCAAGTGCAGTGCGTGCAAAAGCACGAACAGACTGTGTTACTGCTGCTTCCTATACCACATGGTTGGAATATTTCATGGGAAGGGGGAGTGAATTTGAGCATGAAGAATTTCTGTCAGCAAGGTGTTCATTGAAGGCATAGTAGATTCTACTCATTTGGATAATCTTTCTAGGTACGATGGCCAAAGTTTCACAGCCAAAGGCTATGGGCAGAATAATTTATGAACTGAGTAGCCCAAACCCTCTCCGAATCTTCTCAGCAGTTATACGACTATCTTTAGAAATCTTTGAATAATATATGACTTTTAAGGTTTTTGACATTGTTGATATTCACAAACTTCACTTGCAGACAAGAAAAATCTTCTCATATCAGAACTGTTTGTTATTTCCTAATACCAGGTGTTGCCATCTTTCAATGGAAACAGAGACCTAGGAGATGGTGGTATATTAACAAAGCCATGAATTATTGACGTTATAGATTCTTCCACTATCTTGACAGATATATCATTATCAGAAGAAAACTTCCTCCACTTCAAGAAACTAGCTACAGAAACCTGGTTAGTATTGAAATTTCTTCTGTCTTACACAAAGATGGATCATGGTATTACTTACTTTTCTGACACGTCTGTGTTCTGATTTTGAGTTTTAGGTAACATTGTGAAATATTTGGCTAAGTAAGAGATGCTGTAACAGCTACGGTACGTTTAAAACATCCTTTTAAACAATGATGGGTTGAAACATAAATCACACACACAAATAAAAATGGGCTAATTATGGGTTCATTCTCATTGGGCATTGAGCCCAAATCCCATAGCATCATACAATCAAACAAAATAAGATTTAGAAAACTTAAGGTGAGAGATTCGCACAAGACTTTCTGTTTCTTAAATAACTATCGTTGTTTGCTTATGCCTTTAGTCTTAATAAGGAGACAAATAGAGGAATTTAATTTGTAGCATAATTAATTTTGATATTCCAATAATTCTTTAGAGTAAAAAAAATATATATATTTTATTAAATTACATGTCTTAAATTGTATTTAGAATAAATAAGGACAATTATAAAATTATTTTATCAATATTATATAGATTTATTGTATCGAAAAAACACAAATTTTATACTTTTAAATCATATTAGTATGTTTTTTTAATATTACATAAAAAAATACACAAACTAAATTTTTATTGACCATATTAACTTGCATGATAGAGAAAAAATAATGACAGTACAGATTAAAAGTTCAAATTGCCTTATTGATATAGAAATTGGTCTGTGGAGTCCAAAATCAAAACAAATTAATGTAGGCCTGTGAGGGGTCAAAATCTAGCCCCATGTGAGATTTCAAATAATTATATAAACATGCATGTATTAATTAATACTAACATGAAGGGACCATAGGCCATTAAGCATCCTATAAAACAAAGATTAATAAAAACACAATACTATATCAAATAAATAAGAAAAGCAAAGTAAATCACACAAATAAATAAATAAATAAATAGGGGTTTATGGGCTCATCCTCATCCCATCGGTCCTTCAGCCAAAACTCTATATAAAATTACATAATTAAACAAAATGAGATTTAAAACTAAGGTCCAATATTACTAATACTCTGAAACACAAGATACTTTTATTGTCCCCTGTTCAATGAATATTGTTTTTTTCCAGCCTTTTTTTTCCTTTTCTGGGTTGAACCCAGCAGCCAAAGCCTAGCACCAGCTTGTCCTGACCGCAAAGGCATCTGACTTTATTTCTTTTTTTTTTTTTTCCTTCTATATATATATATATATATATATATATATATATATGTTACTATTAATTATAAAAAAAATACTAAAGCAAACTGATGTTTTACTATTCATAATATTATTCACACACTCATAAATCACTATTTCTTTCACTATTTATGTCATTTTGTAACGCTTTGGTCCATAATTTTTCTATACTTTTTTTTTTTTAATTTCAAACTTTAATTGTATTGTGATTTGATCTCATTTTGTTTTAATATTTTTTATTAATTATTTTTTTATTTAAAATTTACTATTTTACTTTTTATTTTAATTTTTTAAATTCTCATCCAATTAATTTAAAATTATATGGTCCTTAATTTTTCTATACATTTTTTTTTCAATTTCCAAATATATTTGTATTAAAATTTGGTCCCATTTTGTTTTAATGTTTTTTGTTAATTATTTTTATTATTTCAAATTTACTACTTTAATTTGTCATTTTTTTTTAAATTCTCATCCAATAATTTAAAATTATATATACTCGATAGTTTTGATATATTTTAATATTAGTCATTCTTTTGTAAATAAATATATAAAAATCAAATTTGCATTTTTTTCAAAAATCAATCTTCTTATCAATATTAAATAAAAATAAAAAATTATTTGTTTAATTCTATTTACACTTTTAATAATTGTTATTTTTGTTTTTTGACACAATCTTATAAAGTACTAAAGCTTTTTTAAAAATTTTTATTTAATTTTTTCGTTAATAATCCATGGATTAACGAGGATAAATCTTTTTTTTAAAGAAAAAATTATGAAAAACACAAATAAGAAATAGTTAAATACAAAATTTTTTATTAAAAAACTATAAATATATATTTTTTGACCTTTGATTTCATATATTTTTATAGATTCGTACCAAAAACGGACTATTAAACTGAAATAATTTTTCTAAATGATTTTATATATCCTATTCAATTTGTAGTATAGCGTGAACAAAAAATCTAATTAGTACTCTATATCACAAAAAATGTACCTAACTTCCTTTTTGAGAAGCACACACGTGACACAATTAGTACATGATTTTTGTGTTTCTTAGATAAGTATTGTTGTGGGTTTGTGCTTTTGGTATTGACAAAAACAAGGTAACTAAATTTATAAAATAATTAATGTATCCGTACAATTTTCCTTATAGAATAACACATTCTATTCTATTAAATTACATATCTCTTGAGCTGTATGTAAAATAATTGATGACGATTACAAAATAATTTTATCAATATTATAAAATGGATGAGAAATTTTAAAATACTTCACGAGTAACTATTATATATGTACAATAATTATTATAAGAGTCTACTTTTAAGGTAAGAGATAGACATAGAAAAAAAGAAGAAAAAAATCACATTCGAATTCACAAAAAATAATAAAAATATTTCCATGTAAACTCAAATTTCCTTTTTAAATTTTCTCCCTTCTATTATTTTTTTGTGTGTGTCTATCTCTCTTTTATGAAGTTCGGTTACAAAACACATCTATTTGTCTAGTATTGTTTACTTACATTTCATTTTCTTTTAAAGGAAAACATATATGGAGAAATCTAAGGTTGTAAGTAGAAAAGAAGATAGAGGGGAAGATGAAGATGAAGTAATTGTTATAATGATGATGATGAACTACAACAATCAGATTGGGGATATACCAAGAAGAGCAAGCATTAGAGGTTTGGTGATTTACCTTTAATTAACTCCATTTCATATGGATTCAGTTTTAGGCACATATATTTCAGGATTTTATTTCGTTTTTTTTTTGTTTATTTGATAATTCAAATGAAAAATATCTTTTTTTTCTCTCACTCTATAGGAAGAGATATCGGTATTGTTGTTTTTGGTTTGGCCATAAAGGAAGAATGAAAATCCCTAGACCATCCTCTACAAATGATTAAGGTTGTGCAAAATGAAGATGGTGAAATTCAACAAGGTGGATGTGGTAATGTTGTCAGCAATAATTTGGAGCCATTTACAGCATTGGTGGAAAAGGTCTAGTTTGGCGAAGCTGTGACGGAGTGCCAGAGAGAGCCGTTGAAGATGCAAACCAAAGTACTCCAATTCTTGCTTGCAAAACTCTCAGAACTAATCACACCAGAGAAGGTAGTAGCTATAAAGTTGATCAGATGCCAAGGGCAGCGCTTCAAGCTTATGTTGAAGAGTGCATGACCAGATGATTACACGAATAAAAAAAGAAAGATTAAGACGAAAATTGTCAACCTAGCCTTTTCATGAGAATGCTTTGCTTGATTTTATTTGTTTGGCTAGTTATATTTGTAAGTCAAGTTTGCTGAAGCGATAGATTTAGTCTCGCTTGATGTTAAATTACTAGTGCTTGACCAGATGATTACACGAATAAAAACAGAAAGATTAAGACGAAAATTGTCAACCTAGCCTTTTTCATGAGAATGCTTGGCTTGATTTTATTTGTTTGGCTAGTTATGTTTGTAACTCAAGTTTGTCGAATTTGTAGACTTAGGATGTGTTTGATAACTCTGTTTAAATAGCTTAAAAAATTTATGCAATAGAAATTATAAGAAAATATAAAACATCGTATTTATAAATAAAAAAAGCTAATAAGTTATTAATTTCAATTACCATCATTTTGATATATAAATTTTACGCTCATTTTGATATATAAATTTTATGCTTTCTTTTCAATGTTGCAAGATAAAGTTCAATGAGGTGTTTCGACGTATGACGGATATGTGATCAATATCTCTTTATGCGATATTAATAACATTAATTTTTAGAATGATGGCTTAATCTAATTTTATTTTTATTTATTTTTTTCATAGTTTGTCCACTCCCGATGATAAGATATATTATTGTGATCACTATAGTTTATCCATATCTAGTAGTAAAGTGTATTATTATAACTACTAAATTTTGTCCACTTCTTGTGGTAAAGTATATTATTATGAATACCACGATTATATGATAATTATTCCAATTATGATAATGGTTATGGACATAATTATATTTATGTCCAGAATCATTATAAGTTGTCATGTTCACTTCAAGAAATGGAGTAGAACTAGTTGGACATAATTTATGATTTTTTATCAATAGTTCGTTATTTTGTTTAGAAAAAAATTAATTTATAATATTTTTAAAATCATTTTCTTAATATTTCTATTGTAGAGGAATATTCGAGACATGAAAAATAGAAAATATTTTCTCATAATCAAGCACTCATAATCAATAATTATAGTTCGAAATATCAAGAGCCATAAAATCAAGTTTATCGGGTTTGATGTGATAACAATTTTATAATGCAATATACAATAATAATGTTAAAAAATAATAAAAAAACATAATAATAAAATTAAAGCTTTTCAAACAACATACTTTATATCATTAGATTTTATATATTATATCATTCAAGTTTTTAAAATATATTCTCTATATATTATTAGATTTAAAATAAAGAATAAATTAGATACATACCTCTTGATGATTTAGATAATTTACATTTTTTGGTAGAGTACTTGTGTAGAAAAAACCAATGATTGAGTATTTTGGTTGATACATACTTCATAGTATATTATCTTCATTGGTTAGAGCTTCGTTCGATAACGTGTTATAAAAAATGATAACAATAATAAAATTGAAAAGAAAGATGATAAGAAAATGAATTCAATATGAAATAAAGTGAATAAAAGTAATAAGAAATCTAAATAATTCTCTCAATGTCTACAAAAACACATATGCACTAACTAATGAATAATCAAACTTATTTATAGAATTAAGATTAGAAAGAGAATTGAAAAGGACTCGTGAACCATTAAAAATGCATAAATAATTGAATAAATTGCATTATCCTTTTAATTTCTCATATTGAATGATGAATTAAATCACATGAGTAGTTGATATGAAATGGTCATGGACATTTATTATTTCATAACATAATGCAAGTTATTAAGACATTATTGTAATGAAGATGTCCTTCATCAACCACATCCATCAATTTTACGGTTAACATTAGTTTAGGATTTCAATTTTATCCTTCCATTCTATTTCCATCCAAATACATCAAACACACAAATGGAATCTGCAGAATTTAATGATCATTTAAATTTATTGTCAAAAAAAAAAAAAAATTGTTACAAATAAAATTCAATTTCAACTAAAACTTTTGAAAAAAGTGGATCCCAATTAGACACATTTTTGAGTTAGATGAGATTTAATTTTCTTATTTTCCCAACCATCAATTTTGTTTATCTCACTCTAACTATTATATTTTTAAATTTTGGAGTTGCCACGTAGATATTTGATGGTATAGTTAAATGATTTTGATGGAAAGTAGATGAAATGATATAATTAAAACACTTGGTAATGTTAATATTCAAAACATCCTTATAGATGAGGGTATATTTATAGGTAGCCAAATATGGATGGTCATACAATCCGTAAGAAAATGATATATATATATATAGTCTCTGACTCAGTTTTTATTTATGGATAAAAACTAAAAAAGAATTATTTAGATTCTAGATAAGGGGTTTCTTGCATGACAGAGAAGAACAATGCCATTTTGTCCCCACCTTTCGTTGAGAGTTAGTAATAGCTTTTAACTGCGGGGTTTTCTATTATTAAGTCTTTTATACCAAGTTATCTGAATTCCTATTAGATGAGTTTTATTGATATGTTATTCTAACCTCCTAGCAGCAATTTAGAAATTAAGTGATAACAATTAGATTCTTGCTTTTTATTTGTTTATAAGTCATTGGAGCCAAATGATATCAACATTTCGGGATGCGATCCTTTCTTATTTGAAAATTTAGGTCCATAATATCCAAATTGTGGTATGGATATGAAAATGGGTTTTTGAAGTTTAAAATCGAAACAAACTAACACAAATTTTTGAAAGGTCAAATCCTAGCCTAATGCGATATTTCAAATGATCATATAAACAAGTATTAAACATTTCCTGAAGCTAATAGGATCACACAATATGCCATTAAGCATTCTGTAAAAACAAACAAGTAGAAACACAATACAATTTCAAATAAATAATGAGGAAAACAAAGTAAATCATACAAACAAATAAATATGGGCCTATAGACTCCATATCACACCATATTAGGTCCAAAACCCATATCACACCACACAATAAAACCAAATGGGATTTGAAACTAAGATTCAATATGATACTATATTACAAAAAATTACCCAACTTCTTTGTTGAGGAGAACAAATGTGACGTGTTTAGCACATAACTTGTGTAAATATACCTTTGGTATTGATGAAAACAAAGTGCTCTATTAATTTGTACCGTAATTAGTATTCACATCTGCATAATTCTGCTTATAGAGTAACAAAATCTATTTTATTAAATTACGTATCTCATAAATTATATGAAAAGTAAATAAAGACGTTACAAAATGGTTTTATTAATATTATAAAATCAAGTCTCGTGATCATTTAGTCATTAAGCACATCTATTTATCTAGTGCTGCTCTCATGATAATTAACTTTTTCGAAGAAAACATGGTGAAATCAAGGGTTGTGATTAAGAAAGAAGATAGAGGGGAAGATGATGATGAAGATGATGGGATTGTTATAATCATGATGACGAAGTACAACAATCAGATTGGCGATATACCAAAAAGAACAAGTATCAAAGGTTTGGTGATTTATTTTTAATACTCTATTTTCAGTGGGTTGATTTTTAAGCATATAGATTTTGAGCATTTTCTTTTATCATTGGTTTATTGAAGAATTCAATTGAAAATTTTATTTAGACTTTTTCCCTTTATTTATTTTCTGAAGATACTTACTACATTTTTTTCCCTCTCATTTTAGAAGGTGACATCTCAGCAACAGAACAGAACATCCCCTTCAATTCACAGATTGTCTTAACCAAATCAAATCTAAAACCCACCACCTTATAAGAGTAACAGTCTTCTCACTTTCTTCCTCACTCTGTCGAAACTCATTTGCCATTTTGATACTGAAAATGAAGCAATCATAAAAATGGCCCATTTCCTTTAGCCATATGTGACGTTCAGTGAAGAACCAACCTTTGACAAGTGTCAGTTTTACGGGATGGAGATACCCGCAGAGGAAATGGAAGGAGTGGGTTGCAAAAATGGCTTCCTTACAGGAGTCCACATGGAAGAAAGCTGAAATTCGAGAAGCTATCTTGAATTCTACGTGTGAGATTCATAGAAACAATGATTTGGTTTATGGGGTTGCACAGAGATGGTGCCCACTCTAAATATATCCCACTTGCTAATGATAATAGTTAGAAAATAAAAAGAAAAAAAATTGAATATCATTTAACTCAAAATTAAAGTTAAATGTTTCTAGTTTTAATTTGTTTTTATTTTTTACCATCAATGTTATTTATCCCACTCTAAATTTATTAGATCTTTAAATTCTGAAGTTATAGGTATTTAATAGAATATGTCAAATAAATTTGATGGAATGATGATGAAAGGGTACAATTAAAAACACTTGTTAATTATAATAGTAAAATTGACGGTAGCGATTGATGAAGGATAATATTGAAAATCTTTACTAATCCTTTTTTATATATAGTCTGTCACACATGGACGGTCTGATAATCAGTAAAAAAAAAAAAGCATACATTCATAAAAAATAAAGTTATCAATTGTAACACCTTTGATCTGAGATTTAAATAAATTGAAAACATTATTAACAATGTTTTACTTTCCTAGTGTAATAAATGCAAATCATCAAGCCATATCTCTTTATTCAGTCTAATTAATTAATATTCGTAGCGGAAGCCTATTAAATATAACTAATTGGGTCCAAGCTTTATTTAAAGTTAAGTATAATTTTTTCTCAAAATAAATTCTTTTTTAAAATTACTCTTTTGTCAATATATTTGCTTAAAAACTTATAATCATAAAACTTAATTTTAATAATTTAATAAAATACTTTAAATCAAAGTAAGCTAATTTGCCCCTTTAATTTTTCTCAATCCTTTAATAAAAATTTAGATTAAATAATGAAGTAAATTAATCAATCTAATATAATTCAATTATATTTAATTCCCATAAATTTTCTTTAAAATACGAATTTAACTGTAAAATAATCCATTAAATTGGAAAATAGTCAATTTACCTTTACTTATTTAATTACTAATTAAATTAGCATATTACATAAAATTTAGTATTCAATTTAACATATACGTGTGTGTGTGTTGGGCTAAAACACAAATCAACATTTGGTGTTTTGATCAACTCACTCAAACATTCTTTAATCACAATTCACATCTACAAGGGGACCCTGTATACTTCATTTTTTGTTATTATTATTTTTTATTGACGAAACAATTCAAAATTTGAGGGCAGATCGATATTATGTTTAATGCATAATTAATAATTAATTGGAGGTTGAAACGAAGATTAGGATGTGTTTGAAATGATTTTGGGTGCTTTTGCTGTCGAAGAGTGCTAAGATCTAAAAAAAAATAAAAAAAATACTACTAGTGGTTGAACTGTAAGTCATTGACGTAAGATTTGAGGAAATCATATGGTTTCTTTTCACACCACACCACACCCCACAACCACCCCCACCACCCCCCCCAAATCATCAGACATGAAGAACTAGTTCTTGGACTAGCAGAGAAGTGGTGTCCTGAGACTAATACCTTCATCTTTCCATGGGGTGAAGCAAAAGCCACTTTAGAGGATGTACTGTTTAATGGTGGCTTTCCTGTTTTAGGACAGCCTGTTTCAAGCCTTTTTATGGCAGAAGATGAAAGAAAAATACATGAGAATCTAAGTGCAATGCGTGCAAAAGCACGAACAGGCTGTGTTACTGCTGCTTCCTATACTACATGGTTGGAATATTTCATGGGAAGTGGGAGTGAATTTGAGCATGAATAATTTCTTTCAGCATGGTGTTCATTGAAGGCATAGTAGATTCTACTCATTTGGATAATCTTTCAAGTTACGATGGCCAAAGTTTCACAGCCAAAGGCTATGGGCAGAGTAATTTATGAACTGAGTAGCCCAAACCCTCTCCGAATCTTCTCAGCAGTTATACGACTATCTTTAGAAAATCTTTGAATAGTATATGACTTTTAAGGTTTTTGACATTGTTGATATTCACAAACTTCACTTGCAGACAAGAAAAATCTTCTGATACTAACAGGATCAGACCATAAATAAGCTATTAAACATCCTTTAAAACAATGATGGGTTGAAACATAAATCACACAAATAAAATTGGGCTAATTATGGGTTCATTCTCATTGGGCATTGAGCCCAAATCCCATAGCATCATACGATCAAACAAAATAAGATTTAGAAAACTTAAGGTGAGAGATTCGTACAAGACTTTCTGTTTCTTAAATAACTATCATTGTTTGCTTTTGCCTTTAGTCTTAATAAGGAGACAAATAGAGGAATTTAATTTGTAGCATAATTAATTTTGATATTCCCATAATTCTTTAGAGTAAAAAAAATATTTTATTAAATTACGTGTCTTAAATTGTATTTAAAATAAATAAGGACAATTATAAAATTATTTTATCAATATTATATAGATTTATTGTATGGAAAAAACACAAATTTTATACTTTTAAATCATATTAACAAGTTTTTTTAATATTAGATAAAAAATACACAAACTAAGTTTTTGTTAACCATATTTACTTGTATGATAGAGAAAAAATAATGATTACTTGTATGATAGAGAAAAAATAATGATAGTACAGACTATAAAAGTTCAAATTGCCTTTTTGATATAGAAATTGGTCTGTGGAGTCCAAAATCAAAACAAATTAATGTAGGTGTGAGGGGTCAAAATCTAGCCCCATGTGAGATTTCAAATAATTATATAAACATGCATGTATTAATACTAACATGAAGGGACCATAGGCCAGTAAGCATCCTATAAAACAAAGATTAATAAAAACACAATACTATATCAAATAAATAAGAAAAGCAAAGTAAATCACACAAATAAATAAATAAATAGGGGTTTATGGGCTCATCCTCATCCCATCGGTCCTTCAGCCAAAACTCTATATAAAACTACATAATTAAACAAAATGGGATTTAAAACTAAGGTCTAATATTACTAATACTATGAAACACAAGATATTTTTATTGTTCGTTGTTCAATGAAAATTGTTTTTTTCCAGCCTTTTTTTTCCTTTTTTGGGTTGAACCCAGCACCAGCTTGTCCTGACTGCAAAGGCATCTGACCTTATTTCCTTTTTTTTTTTTTTCCCTTCATATATATATATATATTAATTATAAAAAACACTAAAGCAAATTGATGTTTTACTATTCATAATATTGTTCACACACTCACAAATCACTATTCCTTTCACTATTCATGTTATTTTGTAACATTTTGTTCCATAATTTTTTTTATACTTTTTTTTTCAATTTCAAACTTTAATTGTATTGTGATTTGGTCTCATTTTTTTAATTATTTTTTTATTTAAAATTTACTATTTTAATCTTAATTTTAATTTTTTAAATTCTCATCTAATTAATTTAAAATTACATGGTCCTTAATTTTTCTATAAATTGTTTTTTTCAATTTCAAAATGTATTTGTATTGTAATTTGGTCTCATTTTGTTTTAATATTTTTTGTTAATTATTTTTATTATTTCAAATTTACTACTTTAATTTGTCATTTTTTTTTAAATTCTCATCTAATAATTTAAAATTATATATACTTGACAGTTTTGATATATTTTAATATTAGTCCTTCTTTTGTAAATAAATATATAAAAATCAAATTTTTATTTTTTTCAAAAATCAATCTTCTTATCAATATTAAATAAAAATAAAAAATTATTTTTTTAATTCTATGTACACTTTTAATAATTGTTATTTTTTTTGACACAATCTTATAAAATACTAAAGCTTTTTTAAAAATTTTATTTAATTTTTTTCGTTAATAATCCATGGATTAACAAGGATAAATCCTTTTTTTAAAAGGAAAAATTATGAAAAATACAAATAAGAAATAGTTAAATACAAAATTTTTGATTAAAAAATTATAAATATATTTTTTTGACTTTTGATTTCATATATTTTTATAGATTCGTACAAAAAACGGACTATCAAACTGAAATAATTTTTCTAAATAATTTTATATATCTAATCCAATTTGCGAGTGTAACATGAATAAAAAATCTAATTAGTACTCTATGTCACAAAAAATGTACCTAACTTCCTTTTTGAGAAGCACACACGTGACACAATTAGTACATGATTTTTGTGTTTCTTAGATAAGTATTGTTGTGGGTTTGTGCTTTTGGTATTGACAAAAACAAGGTAACTAAATTTATAAAATAATTAGCGTATCCGTACAATTTTTCTTATAGAATAACACATTGTATTCTATTAAATTACATATCTCTTGAGTTGTATGTAAAATAATTGATGATGATTACAAAATAATTTTATCAATATTATAAAATGGATGAGAAATTTTAAAATACTTAATGAGTAACTATTATATATATACAATAATTATTATATAAGTCTACTTTTGAGGAAAGAGATAGACATGAAAAAAAAAAAATCACATTCGAATTCACAAAAAATGATAAAAATATTTCCACATAAACTCAAATTTCCTTTTTAAATTTTCTCCCTTCTATTACTTTTTTTTGTTTTTTTGTCTATCTCTCTTTTATCAAGTTCGGTTATAAAACACATCTATTTGTCTAGTATTGTTTACTTACATTTCATTTTCTTTTAAAGGAAAACATATATGGAGAAATCTAAGGTTATAAGTAGAAAAGAAGATAGAGGGGAAGATGAAGATGAAGTAATTGTTATAATGATGATGATGAACTACAACAATCAGATTGGGGATATACCAAGAAGAGCAAGCATTAGAGGTTTGGTGATTTACCTTTAATTAACTCCATTTTATATGGATTCGGTTTTAGGCACATATATTTCGGGATTTTCTTTTGTTTTTTGTTTATTTGATAATTCAAATGAAAAATATCTTTTTGTTTTTCTCTCAATCTATAGGAAGAGATATCGGTATTGTTGTTTTTGGTTTGGCCATGAAGGAAGAATGAAAATCCCTAAACCATCCTCTACAAATGATTAAGGTTGTGCAAAACGAAGATGGTGAAATTCAACAAGGTGGACGTGGTAATGTTGTCGGCAATAATTTGGAGCCGATTACTGACATTGGTGGAAAAGGTCAAGTTTGGCGAAGCCGTGACGGAGGACCGGAGAGAGCCGTTGAAGATGCAAACCAAAGTACTCCAAGTCTTGCTTGCAAAACTCTCGGCACTAATCACACCGGAGAAGGTAGTAGCTATAAAGTTGATCGGATGCGATGGGCGGCGCTTCAAGCTTATGTTGAAGAGTGTTTGACCGAGATGATTACACGAATAAAAACAAAAAGATTAAGACTAAAATTGTCAACCTAGCCTTTTCATGAGAATGCTTTGCTTGATTTTATTTGCTTGGCTCGTTATGTTTGTAACTCAAGTTTGTTGAAGTGATAGATTTAATCTCGCTTGATGTTAAAATTAGTAGTGCTTGACCGGATGATTACACGAATAAAAACAGAAAGATTAAGACTAAAATTGTCAACCTAGCCTTTTCCATGAGAATGCTTGGCTTGATTTTATTTGTTTGGCTAGTTATGTTTGTAAATTAAGTTTTTTGAAGTGGTAGACTTAGGGTGTATTTGATAACTTATTTAATTAGCTTAAAAAATTTATGCAATAGAAATTATAAGAAAATATAAAACATCATATTTATAAATAAAAAAGCTAACAAGTTATTCATTTCAATTGTCATCAATTTGATACATAAATTTTACTCTTTCTTTTCATTGTTGCTTGATAAAGTTCAACGACGTGTTTCGATGTATGGCGGATACGCGACCAATGTTCATTTATGCGATACTATTAACATTCATTTTTAGAATGATGGCTTAATCTAATTTTATTTTTATTTATTTTTTCATAGTTTGTCCACTCCGATGGTAAGATGTATTATTGTGATCACTATAGTTTATCCATATCTAATAGTAAATTGTATTATTATAACTACTAAATTTTGTCCACTTGTTGTGGTAAAGTATATTATTATGAATACCATAATTATGCGATAATTATTCCAATCATGATAATGGTTATGGGCAAAATTATATTTATGTCCAAAATCATCATAAGTTGTCATGTTCACTTCGGAAATGGAGTAGAACTAGTCGGATAGAATTCATGATTTTTTTTATCAATAGCTCGTTATTTTATTCGAAACAAAATCAATTTAAAATATTTTTAAAATCATTTTCTTAATATTACTGCTTGTAGAAGAATATTTGAGACATGAAAAATAGAAAATATTTTCTCATAATCAAGCACTCATAAACAATAATTTTAGTTTGAAATATCAAGAGCTACAAAATCAAGTTTATGAGGTTTGATATGATAAAAATTCTATAATGCAATATATAATAATAATGTTAGAAGATAATAACAAACATAATAATAAAATTAAAGCTTTTCAAACAACATACTTTAGATCATTAGATTTTATATATTAAATCATTCAAGTTTTTAAAATATATATACTCTACATATTATTAGATTTAAAATAAAGGATAAATTAGATACATATTTCTTGATGATCTAGATAATTTAAATCTTTTGGTAGAGCACTTGTGTAGAAAAAATCTAATGATTGAGTATTTTGATAGATACATATCTCTATTATATTATCTCGATTTGTTAGAGTTTCGTTCGATAACATGTTATAAAAAATGATAACAATAATAAAATTAAAGAGAAAGATGATAAGAAAATGAATTTATTATGAAATAAAGTGAATAAAAGTGATAAAAACTCCAAATAATTCTCCCAATTTCTATAAAACACATCTACACTAACTAATAAATAATTAAATCTATTTATAGACTTAAGATTACGAAGAAAATTGGAAGAGACTATGGATTATTAAAGATACATAAATAATTGAATAAATTGCATCACTCTTTTAATTTTTTATATTGAATAGTGAATTAAATCACATAAGTAATAGATATCAAATGGTCATGGATATTTATTATTTCATAACATAATGCAAGTTATTAAGACATTATTGTAATGAAGATGTCCTTCATCAACCACATCCATCAATTTTACCTTGAACATTAGTTTAGGATTTCAATTTTATCCTTCCATTCTATTTCCATCCAAATACATTAAACACACAAATGGAAGCTGCAGAATTTAATGATCATTTAAATTATTGTCAAAAAAAAAAAAATGTTACAAATAAAATTCAATTTCAACTAAAACTTTTGAAAAAAGTGGATCCCAATTAGACATTTTTTAGTTAAATGAGATTTAATTTTCTTATTTTCCCAACCATCAATTTTGTTTATCTCACTCTAAACTATTATATTTTTAAATTTTGGAGTTGCCACATAGATATTTAATGGTTTAGTCAAATGATTTTGATGGAAAGTAGATGAAATGATATAATTAAAACACTTGGTAAAGTTAATATTCAAAACATCCATATAGATGATGGTGTTTTTATAGGTAGACAAATATGGATGGTCACACAATCGGCAAGATATATATATAGATAGTCTATGACTCAGTTTTTATTTAACTCCTTGCCATTCATCATTGGAAGAACAATGTCATTTATTTATGGATAAAAACTTAAAAAGAATTATTTAACTCTAAATAAGGGGTTTCTTGCATGACAGAGAAGAACAATGTCATTTTGTCTCCACCTCTCGTGGAGAGTTAGTAATAGCTTTTAACTGCGGGGTTTTCTATTATTAAGTCTTTTATGCCAAGTTATCTGAATTCCTATTAGATGAGTTTTATTGTTATGTTATTCTAACCTCCTAACAGCAATTTAGAAATTAAGTGAGGAAAATTAGATTCTTGCTTGTTATTTGTTTATAATTAGTCATTGGAGCCAAATGATATGAACATTTTGGGAAGAGATCCTTTCTTATTTGAAAATTTACGTCCATAATATCAAAAGTGTGGTATGGATATGAAAATGGGTTTTTGAAGTCCAAAATCGAAATAAACTAACACAAATTTTTGAAAGGTCAAATCCTAGTCCAATGCGAGATTTCAAATGATCATATAAACAAGCATCAGACATATTCTAAAGCTAATAGGATGACACCATAAGCCATTAAGCATTCTATAAAAACAAATAAGTAGAAACACAATAAAATTTTAAATAAATAATAAGGAAAACAAAGTAAATCATACAAACAAGTAAATATGAGCTTATAGACTCATTCTCGTTCTTTTATTTTACATTAGGTCTCGAGTCCAAACCCTATGTCACACCACGCAATCAAACCATATGAGATTTTAAACGAAGATTCAATATGATACTATATTACAAAAAATTACCCAACTTTTTTTTATTGAGAAGCACAAATGTGATGTGATTAGCACATGACTTATGTGCTTGTACCTTTGGTATTGAAGGAAACAAAGAGCTAGATTTAAAATCTTAATTTGTACCATAATTAGTATTCGCATCTGCATAATTCTTCTTTAGAGTAACAAAATCTATTTTATTAAATTACGTATCTCATAAATTATATGTAAAGTAAATACAAAATTTATAAAATAATTTTGTTAATATTATAAAATCTCTCGTGATCATTCAGTCATTAAACACATCGATTTATCTAGTGCTGCTCTTATAATAGTTAACTTTTTTAAAGAAAACATGATGAAATCAAGGATTGTGATTAAAAAAGAAGATAGAGGGGAAGATGAAGATGAAGATGATGGGATTGTTATAATCATGATGATGAAGTACAATAATCAGATTGGCGATATACCAAAAAGAAAAGGCATCAAAGGTTTGGCTATTCATTTTTAATACTCTATTTTATGTGGGTTGATTTTTAAGCATATAGATTTTGAGCATTTTCTTTTATCGTTGGTTTATTGAAGAATTCAGATGAAAAATTTATTTAGACCTTTTCCTTTTATTTATTTTCTGAAGATACTTACTACGCTTTTTTTTTTGCTCTTATTTTAGAAGGTGACATCGCAGCAACAGAACAGATCATCACCTTCAATTCACAGATTGTCTTAACCAAATCAAATCTAAACCCCACCACCTCATAAGAGTAACAGTTTTCTCACTTTCTTCCTCACTCTCTCGAAACCCATTTGTCATTTTGCTAATGAAAATGAAGCAATCATAAAAATGGCCCATTTCCTTAAGCCATATGTGACATCCAGTGAAGAACCAACCTTTGATATTCCTTCACATACTCTATCCTTTAAGTGTCAGTTTTACGGGATGGAGATACCTGCAGAAGAAATGGAAGGAGTGGGTTGAAAAAATGGCTTCCTTACAGGAGTCCACATGGAAGAAAGCTGGAATTCGTGAAGCTATCTTGAATTCTACGTGTGAGATTCATAGAAACAATGATTTGGTTTTTGGGGTTGCAAAGAGATGGTGCCCACTCTAAATATATCCCACTTGTTAATGATAATAGTTAGAAAATAGAAAGAAAAAACAAAATTGAATATCATTTAATTCAAAATTAAAGTTAAATGTTTCTAGTTTTAATTTTTTTTATATCTACCATCAATTTTATTTATCCCACTCTAAATTTATTAGATCTTTAAGTTCTGAAGTTATACGTATTTAATAGAATATGTCAAATAAATTTGATGGAGTGTTGATGAAAGGGTACAATTAAAAACACTCTTTAATGATAATAGTAAAATTGACGAAAGTGATTGATGAAGGATAGTATTGAAAACCCTTACTAATCCTTTTTTATAGTGTGTCACACATAGACGGTTTGATAATCGGTAAAAAAAATCATACATTCATAAAAAATAGAGTTATCAATTGTAACACTTTCAATCTAAGATTTAAATAAATTGAGATATTATTGACAATGTTTTACATTTCTAATGCAATGAAATGCAAAACTTCAAGCCATGTCTCCTTTTTCAGTGTAATCAATTAATATTCGTAGCGGAAACCTATTATGAATATAACTAATTAGGTCCAAACTTTATTTAAAGTTATGTATAATTTTTCTCAAAATAAATTCTTTTTTAAAAGTACTTTTTTGCCAATTCTATAGAAATACTATTCAAAATATTTGCTTAAAAACTTATAATCATATATAAAACTTAATTTTAATACTTTAATAAAATACTTTAAATAAAATTAAGCTAATTTCCCCCTTTAATTTTTCTCAATCCTTTAATAAAAATTTAGATTAAATAATGAAGTAAATTAATCAATCTAATCTAAATCAATTATATTTAATTCCCATAAATTTTCTTTAAAATACGAATTTAATTGCAAAATAATCCATTAAAATATTAGAAAATAGTCAATTTGACTTTACTTATTTAATTACTAATTAAATTATCTCATTACATAAAATTTACTATTACTTCAATTTAACACACACACATACCGAAACTATGTGTGCTAATATGGCTACCTAATTACGGTGCAAATCGAGCTTTCTCCCCTCCATTTACCTTGGTTTACCACTAGGAGCTAGTCCAAGGCGTATCTCTACTTGGAAGCCTATGCTAGACAAGGTGAGAAATCGTCACTTATCATGGAAATGAAAGCTCTTATCCTTGGGTGGAAGAATTTGTCTCATTAAATCAGTCCTCTCAAGTATTCCTATATATTACCTTTCTCTATTTAGAATGCCTAAAGGTGTGGCAAAAAAGCTTATTTCTATGTAGCAGCATTTCTTATGGAGTGGAGGTTCAAACAATCGAAAGATTTATAAGGTGGCTTGGCGTATGTTGGCTAGACCAAAAAGAAAGGGTGGGATAGGTATTGGTTCCATAATAGGGAAGAATAAGGCCTTGCTTTTCAAGTGGATATGGCGTCTTAGTGGAAGTAACTTTTCTTGCTGGCGATAATTCATCCTTCAAAAATACAATCCAACGTATAGGAACGGTCTTCCCTATTTTATGGGTATCTTATCTCTTTATTGAAAAGATATTTGCTCCGTTTACTCAAGTTTAACTCCTTGCAGTCATGCTATCAAAGAAGGGATTCGTTTCGAGCACCGGCAATGGTAGATCCATCATGTTTTGAAAAGATGTGTGGGTAGGTAGCACAAACCTTAGCTCAACTTTGCCGAGTTTATACGGGTTAGCTACTGAAAAAGATTGCAAAGTTTCGGATATAGGAGATTGGTGTAGTTCAAGTTGGTTTTAGAAATACAATTGGAAGAGTGAGCTTCGGGATTGGGAGGTTCAAGAAGTAGAAAAGCTGCACCACTTAATTTCAACTGTTCACTCGAATCTAGGTGTTAATGATAAGAGGATTTGGGCTTATGACATAAAAGGCTTATATACTTGTTAAGTCTTGTTCTTCAACTTTAGATTTGGATTTACTACATGGTGACTCACATATAATTTCTTATGTTTGAAAAGGCTTAGCTCCCCTAAAAGTAAAAGCTTTTGTCCGGCTAGCGACTCACCGCAAGTTACAAACAAGGGATTTTCTTTTCCGTATTGGTCTAGTGGAGTATTCAGCCATCTTATGTCCTTTCCGTAATGATTATCAAGAATCTGTGTCTCATCTCCTTTTTTATTGCCATGAGATTTAGCGAGTTGTGGTCTAAAATCTTTCGTTGGTGAGGTCTGTTCATAGATTGTCCCTAAATCTGTGGACGATCTTTTTCAACAATGGAGCTTTTATGTTCGTGGGCATATGCAGAAGAAAGTGTGGTTTCTTATTCTTTATTCAAGCCTATGGTCGATCTAGCTAGTGTAAAACGATCTTATCTTTAATGGTACCACTCTCGATTGAGACAACATTCTTTCTTTGGTTTTTCATAGAGTGGCGCATTGAATTAAATATATTGATGATCATTTTTTCTATTTTGGAAATGATCTTCTTATTAGCTCAAATAAAATCAAAAGATGGATAAATACTTCAAAAACCCATCGTTTAGGCTTGCTTGAATAGATAGTTCATCCTTTTATTGTTGGGGTCTAGTTTTGTTTTTTTAGAAATGTTATTGTTTAGTTTGTCTTCTTATTTATATTATAAACTGTTATTATAACCACTTTCTTACTGGCTCTTTTCTCTTTTATATATTGATCGACTTTTATGAAAACACACATACACACACACATATATATAATATATATATATATATATATATATATATATATATATATATATATATATAAATGTTGGGCTAAAACACATATCAACATTAATTTGGTGTTTCGATCAACTCACTCAAGCATTCATTAATCACAATTCACATCTACGAGGGGACCCTGTATACTTCATTTTTCATTATTATTATTTTTTATTGAAAAAACAATTGAAAAATTGAGGGCAGATCGATATTATGTTTCATGCATAATTTAATTATTAATTGGAGGTTGAAATGAAGATTAGGATGTGTTTGAAATGATTTAGGTACTTTTGATGGCATAGAGTGCTAAGATCTATTAAAAAAAGAATTTATTTTGAGTAGTAGTTATAAAGAAAAAAAAGCCCACTACTAGTGGTTGAACTGTAAATCACTGACATAAGATTTGAGGAAATCATATGTTTTTTTTTTTTTTTTTCTCTCTCTCTTCATGGAAAGGGTTATCAATAGGTGTGTCCTAAGCACTTTGACAATTATATAGCAAAATACAAAGTTTGTTAATTCTCAAAAAATTTTAAAACCAGAACAATAGCAAAATTCTAGAGAATTTTCAATTTTGAAATTTATTAATAAACGATAACTAATGACCAAAAGTCTTAAGTAGATTAAATAGTTTGTCTTAAACAGACAAGAGTGAAAAAAAAATCATTATTAAATATAAAGTTAATCAAATTAAATCTAAACAGAAATAAGTAAAAAGATAAAAAAATAAAAAAAGCTATAAGTTCTAAATAGTAGCAATTTAGTTCAAAAGGTCTTAAAATTTTTTAAATCTAACTTGAATCAAGGCTAATTTCATATAAAAAGAGAATATGTCTTACTCCCCAAAAATTATTTATCATTAGTGTTTTTTTTTTTTTTTTTTTGGGTTACTACTTAACATTTGTTTGTGTACATCGTAATTTAACTTAATACAATTCCATATTGGCCCCTTTCTTTCCTAGAAGGCAACAGTCCCAAGCAAGATATTTTTTTCTCTCATTTTTTAACTGGATAATGCATGCCAACTCTTAAAAAAAAAAAAAATGTTAATGGGAAAGAAATTTGCTAATTATATTTTTTGAAAAATTATAGGATAAAAAATATTTTTATATCGATTTATGCATTAATTGAGACTAATTGTTTTTCCTCTACTAATTTTAAAAAAACATTCTCCAAATCAATTTGATATATTTTATTGATTAAACTTACTAATCAATAAATGATGTTTTCATTTTATTACACTAAATGAATCATCCATGCTATCAATGCAAGTTATTAAGAGATATTATTATTATCAACGATGCCCTTCACCAACCACATCCATCAATTTTACCCTTAACATTAGTTCAGGGTTTCAATCTTATCCTCCCAATCTATTTCCATCCAAATCCATTAAATAGACAAATGGTAGCTGCAGAATTTAATGATCATTTAAATTTATAGTTAAAAAAAATTAATGTTACAAATAAAATATCAATTTCGACTAAAAATTTTGAAAAAAAAATATATATATATCCCAATTAGACACAAAATTTGAGTTAAATGAGATTTGCTTTTCTTATTTTTTGGACCATTAATTTTTTTTTAATCTCACTCTAAACTATTAGATTTTTAAATTTTGGAGTTGCCACATAGATATTTAATGATATAGTCAAATGATTATTTAATGATATAGTCAAATGATTTTGATTGAAAATTGATGAAATGATATAATTAAAAACACTTGGTAACGTTAATATTCAAAACAACCTTATAGATGAGGGTATTTTTATAAGTAGTCACATATGGATGCTCACACAAACGGTAAGAAAATGATAAATTCATATATATATATATATATATATATATATATATTCTACCACTCAGTTTTTATTTATGGATAAAAACTAAAAATAAAAAAATAAAAATTATTTAGACTCTAGATAAGGGGTTTCTTGCATGACATAGAAGAACAATGTCATTTTGTCCCCACGTACCTCTCGTGGAGAGTTAGTAATAGCTTTTAAGTTAGAAGTTTTCTATTATTAAGTCTTTTGTGCCAAGTTATCCTATTAGGTGAGTTTTATTGTTATGTTACTCTAACCTCCTAACAGCAATTTAGAAATTGAGAGATAACAATTAAATTCTTGCTTTTTATTTGTTTATAAGTCATTGCAGCAAAATGATAAGAATATTTCGGGATGAGATGCTTTCTTATTTGAGAATTTTGGTCCATAATATCCAAATTGTGGTATGGATATGAAAATATATGGGTTTTTGAAGTTCAAAATCGAAACAAACTAACACTAGTTTTTAAAAGGTCAAATCCTAGCCCAATGCAAGATTTCAAATTATCATATAAACAAACATCATACATGTCCTAAAACTAATAGGATGAGACCATAGGCCATAGACTCATCCTCATCCTTTTATTTTACATTAGGGCTTGAGTCCAAACCCCATGTCACACCACACAATCAAACCAAATGAGATTTGAAACTAAGATTCAATATGATCCTATATTACAAAACATTATCCAACTTCTTTATTGAGGAGCAGACATATGACGTGATTAACACATGAATTTTTTATTTTTTAAATAAAAGTTATTGTGTGCGTGTACCTTTGGTGTTGATGAAAACAAAGAGTCAGATAAAAAATCTTAATTTGTTCCATAATTAATATTCATATCACCATAATTTTTCTTATAGAGTGGTAAAATCTATTCTATTAAATTACGTATCTCTTAAATTATATGTAAAGTAAATAAAGACGGTTACAAAATAGTTTTATCAATATTATAAAATCAAGTCTCGTTGGTTCAGTCATTAAACACATCTATTATTATTTAGTGATGCTCTCATGATAGTTAACTTTTTTCAAAGAGAACATGGTGAAATCAAGGATTGTGATTAAAAAAGAAGAAAGAGGGGAAGATGAAGATGATGGGATTGTTATAATCATGATGATGAAGTACAACAATCAGATTGGCGATATACCAAAAAGAACAAGCATCAAAGGTTTGGTGATTTATTCTCAATACTCTATTTTATGTGAGTTGATTTTTAAGCATATAGATTTTGAGCATTTTCTTTTATCATCGGTTTATTGAACAATTCAATTGAAAATTTTATTTAGATCTTTTCCTTTTATTTATTTTCTGAAAATACTTACTACCTTTTTTTCCTCTCATTTTAGAAGGTGACATCGCAGCAACAGAACAGATCATCACCTTCACAGATTGTCTTAACCAAATCAAATCTAACCCCACCACCTTATAAGAGTAACAGTCTTATCACTTTCTTCCTCACTCTCGCAAAACCCATTTTCCATTTTGATACAGAAAAATGGAGCAATCATAAAAATGGCCCATTTCGTTAAACCGTCTGTGACATCCAGTAAGAACCAATGTTTGACATTCCTTCACATGCTCTATCCTTTGTTCCACCCACATTTGACCCGGAAACCTGGCCTTTAAGTGTCAGTTTTATGGGATGGAGATACCCGCAGAGGAAATGGAAGGAGTGGGTTGAAAAAATGGCTTTCTTTCAGGAGTCCACATGGAAGAAAGCTGGAATTCGTGAATCTACGTTGAATTCTACGTGTGAGATTCATAGAAACAATGATTTGGTTATTGGGGTTGCGGAGAGATGGTGCCCCGAGACCAAATCATTCATCTCTTCGTGGGGTGAAGCTACTATAACTTTGGAGCATATGTTGGTAGCGGGTACCATGATTTGGTGTCTCCTGTAACACCAAGTCTTGCTTGCAAACCTCTCAGTTCCAAGGACAATAGAGAAGGCAGTGAGGTGCCATGCGTAGAGCATCAAGAGAACATTTTGGAGCTTGAGCAGATGATTGCACGGATAAAAGCAGTTGAATCGATACTAGAATTGTCGCCCTAGCCTCGTTCATGAAAATGTTTTTTTTTTTTTTTCAATAGAATATGTTTTGTTGGTTATGTTGTAACTCAAGTTTACCATGTTAATAACATGGTGCAATACCGATTTCTGTAAGACTAGACGTGGATGATTCGCATCGATCAGTTTTTCCTAGTGATATATATTAATATTTAAAAGACAAATTAACAATATATATAGAGTTTTAATAAATATTTTTAATTGTTTTCTAATTGATACTAAAATAATTAATGGTCGGTTGAACAATATGTGTGGTAATTTTACCGAATGACGTTTATATCATTTAGTTTTTCAATCTAATTCTTAAATTATATTTATTTGATTTTAAGCAAAAGAAAACATATTTAAATTTTTATTATATTAATGAATATTATTGCTTCCAAGCATGATATAAAATTCTATAATGTTGTTAGAATAATAGTTTAAACAAAAATTAAAAGTAATCCTATCTTTAAGCACATAAAAATTATTTTTTAATATCAATTAAAAAAATTATAAATATTTATTATTACCTGACATATATTGCAAAATTTTCTTTTATATTTTAATAAATTTTTTCAAAAAAAAAAAACAAAACATATTTCCTTAGGAATCAAAATTTTCCGACTCTTCTAAGAATGTTTATCTTTTTTGGAAATGCATTCCGCATAAAAGCTATGTGAATAATTTGTTTTTAAGTAATTGGAGTCATAGAATTAGTTTTATGCAAGTAAATTAGTTTAACAATATCACTTAAAAAAATGCTGAGAGCAAAAGACATCCATTTTTTTTTTTTTTTTTTTTTTTATCCTTGGCAATGTTTTAAGTGAGCGAAAATTTAAAACTTATGTAATTTTTTTAAAAAAATCATCAATTAAAATGATGGCCCTTTATGATTTATTTACTATTTTCTCGAAAAAAAAAAACTAAAAATGAAGTTTATTGTCAAATAACATAAAGAATGATTTTTTTTCTTCATTTATCTCTTTTTCTTTTGATCTTTTTTTTTCATCATTTCATTTTCTTAAAACACACTTATGAATGCAATTTTTTTTAATTAAGATTTATTAATTTTCTTGGTAAAGCATGCATAAAAAATTCAAAGCAGCTCATTTTCAATTTATTTTCATTTTTTGTTTTAAAAAATAGAATAAATAAATAAATAAATAATATGGAAGGATTGATGAGAAAATATAACTTTTTTAAAATAAAATAATATTAAATTAAGTTTGGTCAACATTAGTCAGGGGATTAAATTAATAATAGCTTAAAAAAACTTATTAATTCATTTATAAAAAATAAAGGGAATAATTTGTAATTTACTGTGTTTTATTTATTTACATTCGTTGTTTCTTTTCTAAGAAAATCATATACTACAAATGAATTTTATTTCCATGCTATTTATATCATTTTAATTTTCTGATTTTATATCTATCTCCCAAAATTTGACCAAATTTTCTCATTTTAGTTCTAAAAGTACAGAAATTTTTTAAGTCTATCTTTAAACCCGGCGCTAATTTCATGCAAAATGTATGTTTTGCTCCTGGAAACCTTAGTTATCGCTAGTTTTTATTTATTTATTTTTGTCAATGCTTATCATTAGTTTTCCTTTATAATGTAATTTAATACTATTTCATATTAGCATCTTCATTCCCAAAAGGCAAGAACCTAGTTATTTCTCTCTCCTAAGTCATGACTCCTTGCGCCCGTCGCCCACCAAAAAACCCCAATCCTAACCACGAAACAACTAAATCTAAACCCAAATCTTAATCCAAACACCATTCCCAATCCCTCTTCCTTATCCCCACACTTATTATCAACTTTTAGACTCTACTTTGAAAGGTTCCCAAATTGAATTGATTTCAAATCCCTAACGAAAACTTTTTCTAGATTTGGGAGAGTTCGAGATTTATTTGTCTCTAAAAAGAAGACTCATCTTGGAAGAAGATTTGGCTTCATTGGTTTGGAAACTAATTCCACTTTGGAGATTGTGCTCCAACAACCCAATGACATCTGGTTTGATTCCCATAAGTTGCGAGTGAATCTAGCAAGGTTTGACAGACAAATCGCAAGAATCAATTCTCTGCATAATCATGGAAAAGTGCCGACTACTGATAGGAGACCCTTAGTACCTATGAGAATGTGTGATAAGAGAATTATGCGGAGGCCCTGCTCGCTGAGACACCAAGACAGCCTCCATTAGATTCTGAAAGGATTACTGTGAATTATCCAACCTCTGAAGAAAGTACCAGGTGGTTGAAGTAGAGCTTAGTGGGAGTTATATCCGCTGGTGTTGATTATGGGTCTCTTAAGTATATATGATCTGGAGGTTTGTGGTGTTAAGCTCATTCGATTGAGGTTCCTTGGAGCTTCACAGGCATTACTTACCTTTAGTTCGGCTGAAGACATGCACAATGCAACAGAGACTTTTGGATCTGTACTCTTTTTATTTTTTGAAGAGATAAGGCCTTGAAATATTACTGATAGTGCTTATGATCGTTTCTGCTGGATTGAGATGGATGGGTTACCTTTAATTGCTTGGAATAATGAATGTTTAAAGCAAATTAGCAGCCATTTTGGTAGACTAATTGGGTTTAAACAATCTCCTTGCATTATCACCCCAATGAAAGTTTTGATTGACATTTCTCAGAAAGACAGATTGGAAAATGAGGTCTGTCTCATGGTGGAGGGAAATACTTATATTGTTAAAGTGAAAGAATGCAAGATTCCTGATTATGTGGATGTGGAGGGAATACTTATATTGTTAAAGTGAAAGAATGCAAGATTCCTGATTATGTGGATTTCAGCAGAATTTGCTACTCTATAGCTACTGGACTTGGCCAAAAGGTAGAGGATGAGGATGTGGCAGCTGAAGTGGATCTAAAGAAGGATGACATGGATCATGTGGCACTTATCATGGGTACATGTATTGTAAGGATGTCAGAAACTATAGGACAAGTTGCTACTGCAACAATTAATGAAAATCACTATGTAGATTTGTTTCCAGAGCTAACGGGATGCTTGTTAAAATTTTAAAATTTGAATTCAACTGCAGCGGCCAGTCTCTAATCATCCAGGAATGACATTAGTGTGAAACAACTTGGCCTTGAGATGGATGATGGGCCTTCAAAGGTGTTGGACTCTCAACTTAGGCCTATATGTGAATAAATTGATGGCTATGATGGCACCGATGGTCTGGTGGACTTAACAACCCAAGTCTGTAGTGACCTTATAACAAAAAAGAAGCATGAAGTTCGACTCAGCGCAGCTAGTACAACTCACAGAAGGAAAAAAATCAAAGTTAAAATACTTAATACTAGAGGTACCATTGCAGAAACAGATGGATATGCCAGTGATGGGTCGATGGATTCTGCCATTTCAAAAGAAAATAAAAGAATAGCTCATTCTATTGGTACCATAGCTATAGGTCTAAGCCATCATCTAAACTCTGAATTGGATGATACTTTGGATGTTGGTGTTGAACTGGGAATCCATGATAATAGTAGAAACGGTATTGCTGCTGATCATATCCAAACTCAGCTTGAGGTGGAAGATAAGGAATGGTTTAGGTCTCTTTGATTGATTGGGTCAAAGGTCGCCTAATAAGGTTTTTAAATCCTTTTTCTATGAACATTGTTTCTTGGAATTGTCAAGGTTTTAGGAGTTTGTGTAAGAGAAGAATGGTCACAAAAATCATCAATTCTTACCACATTGATGTACTCTACCTTTTAGAGATGAAAAACTCTGCTCATCATAATTCTTTGGTTAGCAGTTTGTGGAGTGATCAAGATATTAGATGGCAGTGTATCAACTCTGAAGGAAATTCAGGTGGTATGCTAGTTCTTTGGAATAAGGCTTCCTTTAAGGTGTCTAATGTCGAATATAATGCTCATTGGATTGCTCTTTTTAGGTGTTTTATGGCTATAATTTTGAATGTATGGTTGTTTCAGTTTATGCAGATTATGATTTGTCTGGTAGGAAAACTTTATGGGAGAAGCTTTCACCACTGAAATTTTCTTTTAATATACCATGGTTGCTAATTGGTGATTTCAATGAGACCTTACAAGCTTGTGATAGAAGTAGTGGTCGAGTGAATGGGAGTGGTGGCAGATCCTTTGATCTCTTCGTGAACTTATGCAATCTTATTGAGCTTCCTCTAACTGGCTGAAGATACACTTGGTTTAGAGGTGGCTCAATGAGTTGTATTGATCGTGATTTTGCTAGTTCTCAGTGGTCTTTCAATTTTACAGATTTAAAACTCTAGAGGGTTTTCTGATCATTACCCAATTTTACTTGGCTCTGAATCTATTAATTGGGGTTGGAAGCCTTTTTGCTTTCTTGATTGCTGGTGGTATCATCCTCTTTTCTATGAGTCTCTAAAAAGCATGTGGGAGGAAGTTTGTCAAGCTGAATCGAACTGCTTCAGAGTTATAAAGAAATTGAGTCTGCTTCGATCAAAACTGAAAGAGTGGAATTCCTCAATCTTTGGGAATTTGGACCAGCAGCTAAAAGAGTTGGAAACAAAAATCAATTCTTTAGAATTATTAAGGGAAGTTCAGGTTCTTTCAAGCTCAGAAATAGATGATCTCAGAAACTCTGAATCTCAATTATGGACTGTTAGCAGAAATATTGAGTCTCTGTGGAGGCAGAAATCTAGAGCTAATTGGTGCAAATTAGGTGAAAAAAATACAAAATTGTTTCATATAACTGCTTCAATCACAGGAAGAAAGAACAAATTATCCCAGATAACAATTGATGAGATTTCTTGCTTAAAGCCTGATGATATCAAAACTGAGGCAGTGAGATTTTTCTCCAATTTATTTGCCAATGTCTCTTGGGATCGACCAATTCTTGGGGCTAATGGGTTCAAGAAGTTAAGTCCAGGCTCAGTAGCTGATCTAGAGAAAATGATCTCTTTAGAAGAGGTTAGAGAAGCAGTTTGGAGTTGTGATGGCTCTAAAGCTCCAGGTCCTAATGGGTATAACTTCAGCTTCTACAAAAAAAGC